TCTGATCTGCGGCTGCTAATTCCCAGGAGGGGAGCGGGGGTGGCGCTCGGAAGGTCGAGGTCCTCGGGTTAGACGGAGGGGCGTGAAGGAGGGGAAGGGGTTTGGGGTAGGGGGATAGTAGAAAGAAGCGGACATTACCACCCTGTGTGCGTAGATGATCACGCGGCCGAGACTCTCCATCACGTAGAAAGAGAAGTCACACTCCGTTTATGTGTGATGGGTCAGAACGCACCCTACTGTCGYGTATGACTGATTAGCCCAAATAAACGTCAAGAAAAGGAGAAAGGTTAAAACACAGCTGACACAAAGTTAAAAAAGAAGAAAGAAAAGAGCGGCTTACGTCAGCCTGAAGCGCGTCTGTTCTTAGACTGCCCCTGACCAGGACGTGGCCAGTGGCGTGGGCCCCGGGGAGAGCAGCCCGTTCCGGTGGGCGTGCTCGTGCCTGCCGCGGCCCAGAGTCCGGRCCATTCCTGGCGTCAGTTTCTCAGGAGGGCGGGGCTTGTCTGGAGAATCCGACCAATCCTGTGAGCAGAACGAATTGCCCCTGGACCAGGCCTACACCGGGGCGTGTTCTGTCAAGATCTTGACCAATCTTAGGCTCGGCTCCAGGGCGGACTTTCAAGATGCTGGAATCAGTGAGGGCGTTCGGGTTTCGGGAGACGCCCAGCCCAGCTCCGGAGGCGGGGCCTAGCGAAGGGCTCCTGCCAACCGTGCTAAGGCCCTGAGGGGGTGTGGCCCACTTTGGGGCGTGGCTGCCTGTTCCGGGCCGCCCGGGGGCGTGTCCGGCCTGGACCGCGGCGGGGGCCATGTCCGCGCCGCCCGCGTTGCAGATTCGCGAGGCGAACGCACACCTGGCTGCGGTTCACCGACGCGCGGCGGAGCTGGAGGCGCGGCTAGAGGCCGCGGAGCGCACGGTGAGCGCCCAAGCAGAGCGCCTGACCCTCCAAGATCAGCAGTTGCGCGCCGCCCTGGACGAGCTGGGCCACGCCAAAGACCGGTGAGACTGGGATCCGGCCAGGTGACTTCCCAGAGGAGGTGGGCGGAGGCAGAGATGAGATTGGACGGGGAAGAAGAGTAGGAACCCTGTGAATTCACGTGGGGGCTGGACTGCTGATGGGATTGGAGGAAGAAAAGAAAGAAAAAAAAAAAAAGAAAAACACAAAGCAAAACTCGGATTAGTCCTCAGGATGTAAATGAAGATACACGTGTGAATTTGTAATTCAAATAGCCTATTTTTCCCACAAGGCAAGATCAGCGGGTACTGACTGGCACAGGGAGCACCTACTCCCTGCTGTCGGCACTGGGAGCCATGGCAGTTTCTTGAGCAGGGGAAGATATGATCATATCAGCATTTTTGAAGAGTTCCTTTTGGCAGCTGAAGATTGAAAGAGATGAGACAAGTACCCAGGGAGGAGGGAGGACCTGGGGTCCAGATGCGAAACAAGGAATCCAGAGCTCATTGGATTCATCCATTTGTCTTTACTAAGCACCTGATATGTGCCAGGTGCTGGGCTGGGTCTGGAGCACATTGGTAAGAGACAGACATATCACAGGGTGGTTATATCATGGGATGATCAAGGTTTGTGATGGGAGGGGGCAGATCACACAATCTCAGGGACCCAAAGGGAGGCTTCCTGGAGGAGCCATCAAAGCATTAGAAATGGGAAAAGATGTTGAGGATCAGGAACTGCAGAAAGATGGGGAGTGGTGAGCTGTTGTGGCTTGGGCTGCCTTAACAAAGCAGTATGGCTAGCATCTCAGAAAACAAGGTTCATTTCTCACAGTTCTGGAAGCTGGAAGTATGCAATCAGGGTGCCAGTTGGTTGGGTTCTGGTGAAAGTACCCTGGCTTGCAGACTTCCACCTGTTGCTTGTTCTTGGTGGCAGAGAGACTGAGCAAGCTCTCTCTGGTGCCTCTTCTTATAAGGACACTAATTCTGTCATGGGATCACAACCTCAGACTTCATTTAACCCTAATTACCTCCCAAAGCCTCCATCTTGTGGGTGGGGATTTAAGGCTCCATCACATGAACTGGGTGGAGACACAGAGTCAGTAACAGAGAGGGGCCTGGAGGCAGCGGTGGGGACAGCCATGGGGAGCTGTGGGAGGGCTGGGAGTGGGGGGAGATGCCTCTCTGCTCTCCCACCATCCTAACTGCCCCGCTTTGCCTTCCTGCAGTGAGATTGCCGCTCTCCAGGAGCAGCTGCTGACCTCCGAGGCCGCCATCCACAGCCTGCAGGCTGCTGTGCGCCAGAGGGATGAACTCATCCAGCAGTTGCAGCCACGGGCCAAGCTGCTACAGGACATTTGTCGCCGGCGGCCACCCCTGGTCGCACTGCTGGCTGACCTGGCTGAGGCCGAGCGTCTGGGGCCCTTGCCAGCCAGTGACCCAGGCCATCTGCTCCCCAGTGGGCCTGGCCCACCCCTTGCCAACAGCACTGGTGAGAAGGCGGACCAGGACCACCCCCAGCCTACGATATTTGGGACCACAGTGTGAGCCTCAGAGCAGATTCCAGAATGAAAGCAGAAGGCTCCTTTGGGGATTTCCACCTGTGTCTAGGGGCAGAGCCATGACCCTTTCCAAACATCAGAGCAATCTAAAAAGGCCAAGTTTCCAATTGGGCCCACAGGCCAAATACACATGTTTAATCTGACAAGTTAAAACAAACGACAAAACTTTGAATCCATCCTCTTGTTGAACAACTGGTGATGCTTCCAGAGAAGCTGGATATCTGGCTTCAGACCTGGCTGGTCTCGTCTGGCTCTGAGTCCAGGGTACCCTTTTATCCAGGGTGAGTTCTATTGGTGCTCTCACCTCTGAGGCTGTTGACCTGGCTCTGGAAGCATCTGAATTTGAGACCTCTGTCTGGTGGAGACAGATGGCCTCAAGTTCCACAAGATTTGTTGTCCTTTGCCTTGATACTGTTCCTCCTGACACACCCTAAAGTGTTTCTTAGCTTTTGACCTTGAACCACAGCTAGGGGCTGGAAGCCTCATGCCAGTCTGCATTGACTGTGTGATGACACATTTCTATCCTAGATCTCTGTCCCCTAACTCTGACCTTTCCTCCACATTTACTCCCAAAGGATGAGCTGGCAGGGGTGACAGCCGAGACGCTTTCCTCAGGGTGCGCTGCCTGGGACCTGCACACGTGCTCTTCTCTCTTCCTATAACTTTTCCCCCCAGATTGCCATATGATTGGCTCCTTGTCACTCAGGTCTTTGCTCAGATATTACCTCCAAGAGGCCTTCTGTGACTATCTTACTTGGAGTAGTCCCTCCTTTACCCTGCCAGTCCCGTCCACCATCATTCCATGCCATTCTCTTTATGGAGTGTCACATTATCTCACCAGCAGGGTTTTTGTCTCTTGTTCTGTTTGTCACCAGTGCCTGACATTTCTCAGAGCCCCCCTCAGGGACAGGGATGGTCCTGTGAGCCCTGAGGGAGCCCCTCCCCAGGGCCAGCCAAGCTTGTGTGGCAGAGTGCAAAGACACTGTTTTTTAACTCCTTGTTTCTAGCTGTCCTCGCTGCCCAAGGCACTCAGGGAACTTTGCTCTTTATCAAACCAAGGAGGGGACTCAGGCCCTGTACCTCCCGCTCCCTGCCTGGCGGGCCGCCTTCCCGGCTCCACACTCAGGGAATTGTCATGCCAGCAAGTGCCGAAGAACAGGGACTGTTTCAACGGGTGGTCATTCACAGCCCTGGGATGGTGCCGCCTTCCTGCCTGCATCCAACAGTGACTCTCAGTGCAGTGACAATGGCCCCATTTTCCCCTCTGGATGAACAAGGGAGCTGCTGTTTGCACAAAGGGAAGGCAGGTTGGGGCCTGTCTGCGCTCAAGCATAAACCGTCTGCTTTCTCTGCTGGGCCCTTCATCCTCTCCCTGGCGTGGGCAGGAGAGCTGGCCCTGCGTGTTGTGCGTGGTCCTGGTTGGGGTCCTGCGAGCTTTGGAGATAGGAGTTCCAGTGCAGGGAGCTGGTGCCACAGTTGTCTAATCTGGACAGCAGACTTGTCCCCTTCTTACAGCTGTGGGCAGAGGCCTCCAAGTAAATCGGACCGGCCTCCAGTTCCGAAAGGCCAGGGCAGCGTACCGTGCTGGGAGGTTGCTGGAATTCTTTATTTTCTGCGGGGCTGGGGAGGGCGCCCAGAGCCCCCGACACTGGGCAAGGGCTCCGGCACTGAGCTGCACTCCCAGCCTGGCATCGTGTTTTTAAAAAAGTGAAAATTTCGGGGGGCGTAGTCCAGCATATACCTAGCTTGTGGGGGACCCTGTATTCCACCCCCAATGCAAAAATAAAAACCCTAAAACAATTATAAAAATTGATTATATTTTCATTTTTTACAGAAGAAAATTGCGGCATGTAACAATTTAAAATAAATTAATTTCTGCCCACTCAAGAATTTTGGGCTGCAGTAGCCTTCCGAATTTGTGCAGTGAGATGTCACTTAAGTTTCTTGTCAACCACCAAGTCATGGCACAGGGTGGCTTGTAATCTGGGTTGTTTCTTCGCCCTGGGGTCCCTTCCAGCAGTGTGGCATGATGGAATGTGAGAGGTGGCTCTGTTTTGGAAATTCTCCTCCGATGCCCTGGTCCGTGCAGGTGGCAGGTCCCCGTGCCTTCAGTCCCAGGAGGTCCTGTCACCTCAGCTGGCATTCATGATCCATAGAAGGCCTCTAGCTTGGCAGAGCCCAGGGTCACTTCTCCATTTGGTCCAAATGGAGAGGTTTGGTTTGAGGACCAAAAAGCAACCCACAAAAAGATCTGTAATGACAAAATACTGTAACTGGTCCATAAATCTACCAGAAACAGCTTTGTCACAATGTGGTGACATCTCTAAAAATTCGCTCTCAGCTCAGCATTCACTGACTCTGAAGACCTCCTATTGGACACGGGCCCGGGCAGTTCCTGGGGCCCCAGGACCTTGAGTTCTTTTGAACTTTAATCTCTTAGCAGTTTCATCAACCTTGGCTTTGCTTTGGCTGAGCTGCCCAGTAAATCCCTGAGAGGGAAAGGGACCTGCCTGGGGCCACACAGCAATCAGGTCTTCTCTCTGCCCAGGACTGCCTATTCCCCTGGGCTGTAGCCTCTCTCTCTCTTCCCTGTGACCAGCAAGAGTCCCTGCTTGTCTAGGCCTGGCTGTAGCCCAGGCCTGGACCTCATGGGGCTGTGAGTGAGTGAGCAGATCTCTCAGCACCGCCATCAGCCTCAGCACGTGGAGAGTTAACAGCTGGGCCCCTCCCAGTCTCCAGAGTCACCACCCTTAGCAACGGTCTTGCCAGGCAGGATGCAGACCTAACACAGAGCAAAGTCAGCAGGACTTGGGGACAGACACAGGCCAGCCAAGCAAGTGTGGGTTGGTTGGCAGCTTGAAGCCTGTGCCTGGCTAGCTGGGTGGGAAGTCCCAAGTGCCCACAGACCCGACCCAGAATGGATGCCGTGGATGCCACTGTGGAGAGGCTGCGGGCACAGTGCCTGTCCCGAGGGGTCTCAGGCATCCGGAGCTTGGCCAGGTGACGGGGTCTTCTGCAAACCTTCCAGACTCCATCCAGCCCTGGGGTTGGCTGCCATCTAACCATAACCACCCCCCCCACCCCCAGGTTTTTCCGTCGCCTGGACCAGGATGGGAGCCGAGCGCTGGATGCCAGGGAGCTCCGGCGGGGCCTGGCAGAATTGGGTATGTTGCTGGATGAGGCCGAAGCAGAGGGTGTGTGCAAGCGCTGGGACCGTGATGGCAGCGGGACACTGGACCTGGAGGAGTTTCTGCGGGCCCTGAGGGTGAGGCCCACTTCTGGGTATCCAAGGACACAAAGTCAGCCTCGCTGACTCACCCCTAAAGATTGCTATCAGAAAGCGCCCATCAGGGGTGACATCCTGTCCTGACAATCTTGGGGGGCGTGTGCTGGGGACACCCTACCCTCTGCCTCCAGTCACCACCACCCCTCCCCCAGCCCCCCATGTCCCAGGCCCGGGAGGCAGTCATTGCAGCTGCCTTTGCCAAGCTGGACCGCAGCGGGGATGGCGTGGTGACTGTGGACGACCTCCGTGGAGTGTACAGTGGTCGTGCCCACCCCAAGGTGCAGAGTGGGGAGTGGCGGGAGGACGATGTGCTCCGCTGCTTCCTGGACACCTTCGACTCCTCTGAGAAGGACGGGCAGGTGGGTGGATGCCCATGCAGGGCTCTCCTCCCCCCAAGGTGGTGTCCAGCCTTGGCCCCCCAGTCACAGCCTGTCTGCCACAGGTCACGCTGGCAGAATTCCAGGACTACTACAGTGGCCTCAGCGCCTCCGTGGACACAGATGAGGAGTTTGTGGCCATGATGACCAGGGCGTGGCAGCTGTGAGCAGACTGCCCTCGCTCAGCTGGTGCCCATAGCAGAGGACCCCTCCCACCGGCCTGAGCCRGGGCCCCTCCACAGACAGCCCCAGCAGGGACACGAGTGGGATTTGAGTGGGTGTGGAATCCACAAGAACTGAGCCTGAGGAATTGGTGGGACCAGGCCTCCTGCTGGGCCACCAGGTAGACGTGGGACAAAAGTTCCAAAGGTCACTGGCTCTGGACCCCAAGGCCGCTTGTTGACCATGGCCCCAGTCACTGCAGGTACCCCCACTCCCTCCCCTGTGGATCCCGTAGAGAGCCAGGTGACCCCTGAGGGGGAAGCAAACAGCAGGTCCGAGTGGAGGCTCCGCATGGAGGCCAGTCTTGGGAGGCGGTTTGGACTCCTGCCCAGGTGTGGAGTGCGAGGCAGGGCAGGGGTGCTCGGGCAGCCAGGCTACTTGGGCACCTCTCCTGTGCGGCGGAAGCTGTTCCTGGCTGGGCTGTCTGGCTTCCTGAGGCCCCTGGGGCATGCAGGAGGCTGGGGTTTTAGTTAAAAGTTTTAATGTAGTTCCCAAATACATTTCATATGACAATCTTACATAAATGTTCCAAAACACATGGGCATTGTCTGGTTTTCCTTGTCACTAGTTGGCTAAGGCGTAAAGCAGAGAAGTGTGACCGGATCTCCTGGGCAGGCCTCTGGTGTCTCCCCTGGCTCAGGCTTGCAGGGGGCTGGGCAGTGCAGACCCATGGAGCCACCCTGGCCCTGGGGCTTCTGGCTGCCCCTGGAGGTGTGGGTGGCACAGCTGCAAATTGGGGCCTCCTCTTCACGGGGGGGGGGGCAGGGCTGGGGGATTTCCCCTAAAAGTCCTGAGGAGCCTTGTGCACAAGATCCACCTCCTCTATGGGCTGCCCTACGGGTGGTACCCAGGCATCCACTCCTGTATGCTGCGTGCATGGGGACAGCGTACTGTCTGGGACCTGGTCCCCATGGCTAGCTAGGGCCCCGCTGCCTCTCCCAGAGGTCCCAGCCCGTTGTGAGGGTATGATGTCCAGGGCTGTGCAAGGAGTGGCTCACAGCAGGAAGCAGGCTGGCGCCAGGTGCCCAAGGACAGATGGATCACATGATGTGGACGGGGAAGAGGCTACTAGGGGTCCCTGGGGCCCCTCCCAGGCTCCGTGGCCTTTTTTTAGATAGGCATCTCCAGACCTAGGCCAGATGGAAGCRGACACCCCACCGCCCCGTGACTCAGCTTACAGGAACCCAGGTGGACAGAGTGGGGGCCTACTGACCCCGGCTCAGAGGCCAGGACCACAAGAACAAGCCCTCAAGGAGCTGTGCCTGCTCAGCGCAAGAGAGCAACTCGATCCCAGAACTGAAAACAGAGCCTTTGAAAATTTAAAAAAAAAAAAAAAAATTGTAAAATATAAACCCATCAAATCAGAATATGGGAGACAAAGAGCCACACGGAGCACCCAGGCCCAGTGCTGGCTCCAGGCAGGTGCCACCCATGCAGGAGGGAGGGTGCGGTGGCAGGGGGGCCAGAGGCCCTTGCTGCACCCAGAGGCTGCGACACGCAGGGTGAAGAAACCAGGTCTCCCAGTCCCAGTGAGAAGCTGTGACAAGTCTTAATGTGCCATTTCAGAGGAGGGGCAGGGAGGAACGTTCTTTTTTTGCTCATCAATATGATGAGGTCTCATGTCCCAAACCACATCCAGGCAGCTCCCGAGTGAGTCTGCTTTCCAAGGGACGCAGATCCAGACTGTGGTCAACCCAGTGGGTGTGGCTCTGCCCTTGGTGCCGCTGCCTGCAGGGAGGGGGCGGGCGGCAGACAGACGACCAAGCAGCAGCCTCCTGTGCGCCGGCTGCTATGTGCTCCCCGGCGTCTGCCCGTCACCTTCCTCACCTGCGCCTGCGGGAAGAGCAGCGTCACCTTGGGGCCAGTTCTGGCTCGACCCACATGGGCCGGGAGGTCAGCTTTGGGCCCCTCCTGGGCAGGCAGTGCCTGGCTCACCGGCCCCGGCAGCCCCCGAGGGAGCCAGCACATCATCATCGCTGTCGTCCTCCTCGTGGGATGGGGCGGCCCCAGGCTCAGGGGCGGGCATCTTGGCCTCTTGTTCCTGCTCCACACGGCTTCGAAGGGCCAGGATGCGGTGGTGCAGGGCAGCGTACAGCTGGCCTGTGTCCTTGGAGCTGGCCTGGGGAGGCAGGGGGTTGTGAGGGCCTGGGACCCATCCTGCTGGGCATGGGGGTGGGAGGTGTCCTACTCACAAGGGGACCTGGCTTGCCAACCGGTCACATCCATAAGGCCATCCCCACCCCTAGGTGGCTGGGAGGATACTGGGGCCAGGACAGAGGTCAAGATTGGGGACACATGTGTCATCCGTTCACATGACACAGGATGGGGTGACCAACACGCAGGGTTGTTTGTCCTAAGCACACCTCTGACCTTGGCCAGCCCATAAGGGGGAGACAGGGAGAAGGAAACAGAGGGTGAGGTGTCCTTCTGGGTGTGCTGACCTCAGGGCACACCCCATCTCCACAGCTAGAACACAGGTCTGGGTGACACCCACAGGAGTCTACCGCCCAGAGTCCAGGCAAGTGGTGCCCAGCATGTCAAGGAACCCCGCGTGGTGGGTGAGCTATGGGGTACAGCCTTCTTTCCGAGTCCAGCAGCCTGCCCAAGGGTGGCTCACCGAGATCAGGAAGACCTTCACACCCTGGTCCTCAGTATCCATGGCGGTGATGCGGATGCTCTTCTCGCTGGCCTTGTCCATCTGCATCTGGGCCCACAGCTTGGTGTTGAGGATCAGCCTCAGGCTGCCCTGGGTCCGCATCACTGTAACCAACAAGGCCACTCAGCCTGGCCCCCACCCCGCTACCACAAGGGGCAACAACCTGAAAGAGAATCCAACTGGGCCAGCCAGCAATTCTCCAGCCCAGCTCCTGCAGGACCCTGGTGGATCGGTGGCTGCACAGACTGGTGTGGCAGGCCAGTGGCTGGAGGCCACATCCAGCCTTGTGAGAGTTCTGTTTGGTCCACACAGGCAACTGCCAGGACAGCCATTCCCTTGGGGAATTGGGGGATTGGAGAGGGCAGGAGACGGGCTGCAGGAGGTGAGGGCTGCACATGCTGAGAGGGAAGCTGGGGCCCTCTTGACCATCCCCACTCTTGGGCCAAGTCCTGGCCCCTATCCTCTGGTTTTCTTAGGAAAAAGAGGAAGTAAGATGACTGCTTAGAGCATCCACCAAAAGGAAGCCAGGACGGAGGGCAGCGTGCTGTGGAGGGAAGGGCAGGCCTTGTCTCTCTGGATGCTGCCCACACTGCCAGGGCCCATGCACCTGGCCTGTGTCCATGGCATGGACATGGCTAAGTCTCATCTTCCTGCTGGCTCAGCTCTGCCCACTGGAGGGCTAAGCTGTCACCTCTGCCAGGGGCCCTCCTCAGCTAGATCTCCCTGTGCTCACATCCCTGGGCCAGGTACCTGCCTCAGACATGGGGGCTGGGGAAAGGACAGGGTGCTGAGGGTGGTGCTTGGTAATCGGGGAAGGGATCCACGGCAGTGGGCTGGCCGCATGTGCTGACAACAGCTGGGGAACCCCACCATGCACACTCTGCTCACACATTTGAATGCTTCCATAAGAAAATGGTAAAAGTCAATTGAAGCTTGGTGTGGCAGCACACACCTGTTAATTCCAGTGACTCAGGAGACTGAGGCAGGAGGACCACAATCTCGAAGCCAGCACGGGCAACTTTGCAAGCCTTGGCAACTTAGCAGGATGATTCTCATCTCTGCTCTGACCTCAGGGATGTTTCTGAATTGAACTGTGTAAAACAACACTTAAGGGGAATGTGAGCTACCTTGGGCCAGAAAGCCACATGAAAAAAAAAAAGGGGGGCCAAAAAATACTTTGATTAGAGAAGATGAGAAAAGATGAGCATGTGCTTTTAAACACAGACACACACGTACACAGCTTTCTCCAGTATGTGCACATATTCATTTTTATAACAAGTTTACTTATGGAAATAAAATTCATGTATTAAGATGGCCCCGTCTTGTTATCTATGATAGTTCACAAAAAACTGAAACAACCTAAATGTCTGTCAGGGATTAAATAGGGGGCTAGGGTTGTGGTTCAGTGGTAGAGCACTTGGCCTAGCATGCATGAGGCACTGTGTTCAATCCCCAGCACCATATTAAAAAAAAAAAAAAAAAGAGAAGAAGCTAAATAAACAGAGACTAAATATAGTAATTGCCAATAGAATGTTCACATAGAAGTTTTCAAAACCAATTGTTATTTATTTTTTTGCAGTACTGGGGATGGAACCCAGGGCTTCATGTGTGCCAGGCAAGTACTTTATTACTGAGCTACATCCCCAGCCCTTTTTAAATTTGATTTTGAGACGGAGACAGAGCCTCACTAAGTTGCCCAGACTAACCCGGAAGTTGCAATACTCCTGCTTCAGCCTCCTGAATAGCTGGCATGACAGGGATGACCACTGTGTCCAGCTGATAATCTTTTCTTATTTTGGGGGGTATCAGGGATTGAACTCAGAGGCACTTGACCACTGAGCCATATCCCAGCCCTATTCTCTTTTTTATTTAGAGACAGGGTCTCCCTGAGTTGTTTAGCACCTCGCTGTTGTTGAGGCTGGCTTTGAATTCACCATCCTCCTGCCTCAGCCTCCTGAGCCACCAGGATTACAGGTGTGGGCCACTGAGMCTGGCTGGAGAATCTTTATTTTAAAGGGAAATTTAATGCTATTGGAAAATGCTCACAAATAGTAAGCGAAACAAGCAGAATATAAAATTGCCCTATTTCCTTAAAAAAGGACCACAAAACAGGAGGAATCAATACGTTACGAGCAGAGACTTCTCTCTTTAAAAAGAGATAATTAATGCTGTATTTCTTCTTTCTCCTTTCTACCACAAAATTGCTATCTTATCAGTGAAAGTAAATTTAAAACTTGCTAAATATTTCAACACTAGGGAAAAGTCTTGGAAGGGCTGGCAGCTGGAGTCACTGGGTCAGGCCTGTTTTGAGGGTGCCCAGCTGGCAGGCTGACTGGGTGTGCTGGGGCCACACTGTCCCGTCTCGACTGGTCTTCCATTCCTAGGCCAGGTCAGGTTTCCCCTTCACTCCTTCTGGAAAGGCACTTCTTGTCTGATCTTGGAACAACCCCAAGCCCTTTCTCTCCATAGGGACCCTGCCATGCCCACCTTCAGGAGGCCTGGCAGCCCCTCCCTCGGCAGCTCACCAAGTCGGGACTGCAGTGTCCCATCGTCGGTCGATGCCATGTCGTTGAGCCTGAGCAGCCCCCGGCCTCGCTCCACCCAGGACTGTGAGGTCTTGTCAAAGACAAACAGCTTGCACTGGGTCTGGAATACACATGGCCCTTGGTGAGCAGGGCCCTATCAGCTCACTGTCGTGCACACCCTGTCTCTGTCTGGGTTACCTGGATTACCAGGGCCAGCAAACTATGACACAGGGCCATGGCAGGTCCTTGCCCAGCTTTTTTTTTTTTTTTTTTGGTACCGGGGATTGAACTCAGGGGCACCCGACCACTGAGCCACATCCCCAGCCCTATTTTGCATTGTATTAGAGACAGGATCTCACTGAGTTGCTTAGCGCCTCATAACGTGATGAGGCTGGCTTTAACCTCGCAATCCTCCTGCCTCAGCCTCCTGAGCTTCTGGGTTTATAGGAATTTACAGCCATTGTGCCCAGCCTTGCCCAGTTTTTTAATCCTTCCCTTAAACTAGGTCAAGTCAAACAGTAGTAAAGAGATATTAAAAAAAAAAAAAAAAGGGATTTTAGAAACAAAAGAAACTACAAAGATACCCCCTCCCACCCAACCAGGATGGCCAGAACCAGAGATTGTCAGCCACTGCAGGAGGGGAGTGACGTGGGGAGCTGCTGTGGAAGAAGAGCACTCCCTCTGCGTTCCTCAACATGCTAAACACTAAGTGTCCACTTGACCCAGCAATTCCACGCCCAGGTGTCCCCATGTGAAAGCTCACTGAGTATCAACTGGTGAACGGACAAGCAAGTGTGGTCCCAGCATACACTGGAGAATTTCTCAGCTGTGCAAAGGAACCAGGCTCTGACACGCTAAGGCAAGGATGAGCCTGAAACAAGCTCAGCGAGGAGCCAGCACAACAGGTCACCGAGCACACGACTCCACTGACAGGAACTGTCCAAAAGGGCAAATCCACATACAGGAAATGGATTTGTGCTTGTCAGAGGCTGGGGTGGGCAAGGGATGACTGCTCAGGGAAACGAGGCTTCTTTTTAGGGGATGAAAACGTTTTAAGTTTTCATTTGTAGTGACAGTTGTGCAACTCTGTGCATGCACTGACGACCCCTGCGCTGTAAAGGGCACCTTCTATAGATGTGCGCCATCCCTCCACAAAGCTCTCACATGTGTTAACAGGAGAAAAACACACGGCAGAAAACTCATGTAGCCCCTCAGAGGAAAAAAATGTGGACCCCCCCACGTCAGTGACCCCGTCATGAGCAGATGAAAGAAACAATGTCGGGTGGAAAAGCAGTGCCAACAGAAGCCCGCGGCACTCCACGAGGCTGGCAGACACATGCACATCCGGGTGGAGGGAGGGATGGCCGAGGGCGGTGTGCAGCACACCAAGGGGGTACCTCAGGAAGGGCGCCCAGGCTCTGGCCATACCCAACCCCCACCCCGCCAGGACTACGTGGGGCGCCAGTGTGACAAGTAATTCAGCCGTTCAGTATGGGTGAGGAGAGGAGGTGCTAGGACAGTCTCATCCGTGAGCTGCCTCAGAGAGTCAGCATGAGAAGGGCCTGGGCAGGCAGTGTAACCTCAACGGGCCTGTGACCACTGTGAAAGATACCGCCCCACGCCTGTGCCCGCCAGTCCCTGCAGCCCTCACCTGTAGCACATTGCTTTCTGCCTCCTCCCCAGTGATCACTTCCACTTTCTCCAACAAACACTTCCGCGCTGTGGCCTTGGTGTAGGCAGCCGCTGACTCGACCAGGGACTCTGCAATGTTATTAGCTAAACAAGATTGACTATGTATTCGGAAAGGGGCAAGAGGGTGACTCCCAGTGGTTCAAAAGTACTGGTCTGCCCTGGGGAGGCCGGCCACCCCTAGCAGGCCAGACGCACTGCCTAGAGGGGACCTTGCGGGAAAACCATCTAGAGCCACTACATGTGAAATGTTCTCATTCCTCAGAGGACAGGACAGTGGGGCTCCTGAGAGAGGATGCAGGAGATCCTTCCTGGCCTGCTTCAGAGCACCTGGCACAGCGGCACGCCCGGGGCCCCCACGCCCCTCAAGGTGCACAGCTGCCTCCAGCTGAAGCACAGAGCGCTGTGGTCACAGCCACGGCTCTCAGACTGTTCCTAACTGGTCTCCACCGCTGGGGAAGACAGGTCCTGCAGTCCTCCCCCATGGGATGCAGAGATACAGTGTCCCTTGTCACTGGTCACCCCAAGCTGACCTGCGGGACTAGGATGTACCTTTCTCAGGGGTGGCCTCCTGGGAAGACGACTCAGATCCAGACTCGGCAGCTGCGTTGTCCCTGCTGGCATCTGAGCTGACCTCGTTTAACTTGGGGAAACTCTGCAGGGAAACAAAAGGAGAATGACTACGTGGTGCTGGTGGCAAACCCAGGAGGGGAGAAAGCCCTGGTGGGGAGGGCAGTGCCAGACCCTTCTTAGCTGGGCCCCTGACTCTGCGTGATGCTCCCCAGCACCATGTGGGGCCAGTCCTAACGGGCCACCCTGAATGTCACACGTGAACACCTGAGAGCTGCCCCAGAGCCCTGGGAACACGGTCTCTCCTAGCATCACCAGCAGACTGCCAACACGGGCTGTGCCATTCATCTGTGTCTGCACACCAACCTGTGAAGTGAGTCTGCGAACAGATGGTTGTGCAGGAAAAGGGCAGTACTGACGTGGGGACAACTTGCTACAAACCAGACAGAGCTAGAAAGAACGATGACGGGCCAGAACAGAGCCTTCCCCACAGTCACAACTGGCTGTGGCCGTTCAATTGGGAAGAGAAAGAATAGAGGCAGGAGGAACAGTGCTCTAGAACCCTCTCCCATGCCAGCTGGGCTCTCTGGAACAGAAAATGGCCTTTTCATATACCCAAGTGTCCTGGCCATGATGTGTGCCCGGATGCCCAGACTGACCTCGTTCCACAGTCATGGCTGGCTCTACTTCAACAGGGAACAAAAGACCTGCTGCCCCCACTGGCTTCAGACTTGTGGTCTGGGTGGGACTTGGGGGCCTGCAGCATATGGCCAAGAACTTCAGCCTCACACGGCTGTCACTCATTCCGACTGCCCTTATAGGGATGGAGAAGGCACTCTGGCTGTCATTCTGGCCCCATGGCTGCAAGGGAAGACCAACTTAGGACTAAGTCAGCCCCCTGGGCCACCAGAGTCAAGGGCCAGTCCATCTTCAAGCCGAGTCTGAGCCTGATTTTTCTCTTTTATTTACAACTTAAAGTCCTGATTTTGTAGGAGACATGGCAGCCACAGCCACATGCCTATCAATCAGGGGTTGGTGCTAAAGCTTTTGGGGTCCAAGAAGAAGAGTGCCACGAGGGGCTGCTCACCAAAACACGCTCGCTCATGTTCTGGCCGAAGACGAACTTGTTGCTGGAGGCGTCGGCACTGTTGGCTGTGTTCTCTAAACTGGAGAGGAGATGTGCCGCGAGTGTGTGATCAGGTAAATGTGCACGTGTGAACACGCGTACACCAACATGCAGGTGCAGGAATGACCACCCCCCCAACATCGGCAGGGAGCAGTCCGGACCCCTCTCCCTCTACTGACGGGCAGCAGCTAGCGGGACCCAGGGTCCCTGAGCCATGCACACTGCCAGGCAGAAACCCAGCCTTAGCTTGCTTGGTGGAGGATCCCAAGGCCATGCTCATTAGCTCTGCAGGCCTGTCTCCCAGGCAGGGAGACCTCTCCTTCTGAAGCTCTGGGGAGTAGCACCTCAGGCACCAACCAGGGCAACCCACAGCCTTCACCCCACGTAGCCACACCCACGTTAAGGGGCATTGGGGTTGGCCCCTTGTGGCTACAGGAGGTGACCAAGCTGCCACTGGACCTATCAGCTCTGCTCTAGTCGTTTGGTCCACGTGAGAGGGTCACTCTGAGGCTAGGCTGTATCCTCCATATGCCCCTGATGAGCACACTGGACTCTGGTCTTGTGGGAGGTCTGTTGTTGTCTGGGACAACCCTGGCCCATGGCTTCACCCAGAAGGGGGAGTAAAGGAGGGCCTGGGGCACCTCGACTATGATGGCTTTTGCTTCCTCCTGCTCCACACCCCTTGGGAAAGACAGAGCTGGCTCCTGGTCTAGCACCAAGGTCCCCAGGCCCAAGGCAGAAAGATCATGAATGGCCCCCACTGTGGCTGAGGCTCTCTCCCACCACCTCTTGCCAGTTCTGACACCGGCCCTGGGCTGGGACCTACCTGGAACTGATATACTGGAGAAAGTAGTTGGTGGCAGCTGGCGTGTCTGAGCTGGGCTGTCCGGCACTCTCCAAGCCAGCTACATCGGTATTCTCATTCACCAGCTGTGAACAGAAACACCCCATCAGGACAGAAGGGCCTGGGGCTCTACAGCTGTCTGTCTGCAGGACTCTGCACTGTGGGTCACGGCTCTGAGGTCAGCTCATGCTGAGTGCACATGCTATGTGTGGCAGAGCGTGGGGCTTTCACCAATTTCACATGTTGTTTTTAGTGGTTAAGATAGAGAAACAGACCACAGAGCACTCAGGAAGCTCTTCTACCTCGCCACAGACACCTGCCCTGAAGCTGGTGCGGGGCCAGTACTTCTGACCACACCACAGAGCACAGATTTGCACCCTGGGCCTCCCAAGGGGCTGGGTACAGACAGGATAGAAGCACTCTCTGAGGCTCTTTCAAGGCTGCCCTCAGGGGAGATGCTGAGAGATCTGACATAAAGACTCCAAGGCCCTGGACATCTGTGAGACCCTGATCCCACCCACTTCAATGTGAGGGACAGAGAACTGGGCCTGAGGTCCAGTGGCCAAGTTCAGGAAGCCCTGAATGGCCTAAGTGTAGGTGTATTTCAAGTCTCTCACCTGTCCCTAGTGGGAACAGGCAAAAGAGATTCATTATTTTGTCTGAAAGCTGCGGCAGCGTCAACACCTAGTTTCTGTGTTTCAGGACTGGTCCTGCTGTCGGACAGGGAGTTAACAAGCAGGCAGCAGGAAGATTATCCGGCACCTTCTCAGCAGAAATTTTTGATTCCTTATTTCAAGCTTTCCCATTGGGTGCTATGGACACTAGGCTGGGTCATTCTCTGGGTGGGCATCCTGAGTACTGCACTTCAGGGTGCTGAGCAACATCCCTGGCCTCCACCCATTCCATGCTGGGACACCCCCAGCTGTGTTACCACACTAGTTCCAGAGATGGCCACTGATGCCACCTCTCAGGCTACTACAGAAGCTTCTTGCCAGATGAGCTGCTGAAGAGCCGTGGCAGAGCATTCTGGGCCAGCTGCTAGGAAAGGCAGAGCTCGGGCTTCCCAGGGCTCCAGCCCACGGGGCCCAGAGACGCTGTCCTCCGACACTGCCAAAGCTTCCCACTCAACTCGAGTGTCCAGACATGACTGACACACCTGAGGGCAGCCAGTGACAGATGCCTGCTCTCACCTATCCTTTTTTGGTGGTACTGGGGATGGAGCCCAGGTGTGCTGCACCACTGAACTACATCTCCAGCCTTCCTTATTTTTCACTCATCAGCTGGAAACAGAAACACCTCATCAGGACAGCAGGGAGCTCCAAGGTTACCTAGGCTGGCCTTGAACTTTGGATCCTCCTGCCTCAGCCTTCCTTCCAAGTCACTGAGATCACATGTTTGTACCACCATGTCCAGCTCCCAACCTTTTTTTGAGAAAATAAGGTGGCCATGCACAGTGTTGTGTCCTGTTGTTCCAGCCACTTCCAGGCTGAGACGGGAGGATCACTTGAGCCCAGGAGCTCAGGGCCAGCCTGGGGTTGGGGCTCAGTGGCACTTGCCTAGCACATGCAAGGCCCCGGGTTCGATCCTCAGCACCACATAAAAATAAATAAGTAAAATAAAGGTGTTGTGTACAATTACAACTAAAAAATAAATACTTAAAAAAAAAAAAGGCGATGATGGTTTGTCATAGCTGGTACACGAGTGACCCCAAAAGTGTGTGCTGAAGGTTGCCCTAATGTAGCAGTGTTCTGAGGATGTGTACTGGGGATGGAGCCCAGGTGTGCTGCACCACTGAACTACCACTGAAGGATGGACGGAGGCCGTGGCACGCGCCCTCGAAGGGTATTCCTCATCTCAGACCCTTTCTGTCTCCGTTCCTGGCTGCTCTGAACTAAGTAGCTTTCCTCTGCCATGTCCTTCCTCCAAGAGGGGCTGCCTTGCTCAGACCTAAAGGGACGGAGCAGGCTGGATGAGCTCGAACACCTCTCAGCCTGGGAGCCGTGATAAACACCCTCTTCTGTATTTTCAGATATTCTGGTTAAATCTAAAAGAAAGTCAACTGATTTTCTTGTTGAACATGAAGTCATTAAAAATAAACAAATAAATAAATAAAAATCAACTTAGTAGTTCAGTATCTCATTCAATCCCTGATCACATACCTTAACTCTGTCCCTCAAGTTCTGCCCAAATACAAAGGCTTGCTGTGCAACTTGATCTTTCTTCTCACAGTTTTCCTCCTCAGAAGTATTGCTAGATTCATTTTTCTGGGGCTCTTTCTCCTATTAAAAACAAAACACAAAAATTGGGAAAAGGAGACACATTAGCCCAGATACACAGAACCAGAACACTCTTCTGTCTTTTCCATGTGGCTCTTTCGGTTGGGGTCCTTGGGCCAGCGGGGGCCCGAGGACTCCCCAGCGCACCTGCCTTGCCAGCAGCAGGGTCAGCTCTCCCTGGGTAGAGCCGTGGGAGAGGCAGACAAGGACCCATTCCATGTGCTGCAGGTTCCCTAAACAGGCGCAGGGCTCTGCTTTAGATAAAGGGTATGTGAGGGACAGGCCTGAGACCAGCGGCTCCCAACTGGCAAGAGGCCCCCCCTGCCTTGGTAGGGCAGAGGGCTGGCTGCCAGCCTCTTCCCATGCCTTGGCAGAGGTGGTTCCTAAGTGGATAGTGAGATGCGGTAGCCTGGACAGGCAATTCTACTCACCTTGGGATGCTTGGAACCCATAGTCCCCTGGGTTACTTAACAGGAACTGGACCTTTGAAGGCCAGGGTAGCCTAAATGGTACCAGAGCTTCTGGGCATAGAGTCAGACTAGGTTTTGGTTTTGAAAAGCCCACTGATGAGTGGTGGCCTTTCTGTCTAGGTGGATAAGATGCAGAGATCAACATCACACCCAACATGGCTAGAAGCTACTTCTGAGACCCTGTTCTCAAAACACTTGGAGGAGGGCTCTGGCAGAGAGAGTCAGAGCAAGGTACTTGCTGCAGCACCATCGATACTGGCAGAGAGCTGGAAACAACCCAGAGGTTCATTGTTAGCCAAAGGGCTAACATAACTTAGGATTTAAAACACAATGGGGAAAAACTCACAATGCAGCTGCTACTGAGAAAGGCAAGATGCCCTCAGCAATCAGAAAGATAAACAAGTTGTGAGATATGAAAGTGTAAATCCATTTTGATCAAGAGTGAACCGGGTGGAGTGGTTCAGTGGTTAACCCTTTTCTAGCACATGGGAGACCCTGGATTCCATCCCAGCACTGCCAAAAAAGCAAAGCAAATAAAGCCCCATGAGTCACCTGAGCCTTAAGTCTACCATCTCATGGTCTCCCATGGCAGCATGTCAGAAAACCTCTTTTCTTTATATACTGCCATGTTTCTGAGGTGACAAGAAAGACGAAAGTCTGCCTGGTGAACCCTCAGTCCCTGCAGACTAGAGTGTCAGAGGATAGCAAGTGTGGCAGTGCCAGCAGCAGGAGCCTCCACTTCTGTCCTAGTGTCAGCCACATGCAGAACTGCTGGTGGCACGTGTGGCCTGTGTGGCTCCACCCACACCCACAGGGAGCACTGGCTGGGTGGCAGAAGGGGGATGTCAGGAGGAACTGGGAGCCAGATAGAATCATCCACAGCCCAGCACAGGAGATGGAGAGGAGCGATCCCGGTGGCCTGCAGGGCTGGGGAAGGGTAGATGCAGAAGGGCAACTCAGGGGGATACCTTCTGGGTTGGGGTGGATTGAAACTCTCCAGCTCGTGTGAGCTGTGGCAACTGGTGCCACCAGCATAGCCATGCACTCGCTGTCAGGAAGTGAGCGGTGTCAGGGACAGGCTGGGCCTCTTCCAGGAGCCCCTCCAACTCAGAAGAACTGTGCTCCTGACCCACTGCCCTCAACACCTCAGCAGTTCCTATTCCCACATTTCCAACTGAGAGACCTGTGGTTTGAACACGGGGGCAGGGGAAGTTCTAGAACATAACTAGAGACAGCCAAGCTCCCACCTGAGTGGAGGGTTCAAAACCACAGGCAGCAGGTCTGTTGACTTGGCTGCAGAGTGCAGAAGACACGTGGGCCCAGCTAGGCTTTTCAGAGATGCCAAGTGGTGCATTACTACAGATGACCAAAAGGCACCTGCCAAGCTTGGGAGCAGCTGGTCATCTAATATCCCCCACTTTAGCTGCTGTGAAATACATTGCCCTGGGCCTCCACAGTCCGGGAATCCTGGGGGACCTTTTAATTTTTCTTAAATGAACTATTCCCGAGCTGCCCCAGGCATGCTTTCCAACTCAACGGAACCACTCAAATCCTGGAGAACTGACTCTTGTGTGCAGAGGGGGAGGTTCTTCTTCCCATGAAATACTGCAAGACAATCATTCATGAAAGCCACTCCTCTGGACCCAGTGACTCCCAGGACTCAGGATAAGTTACCCCAAAGGACCACACATACTGGGGGCCAGATGCTCGGTGGCACAGGGCCTGCCCAGCAGGCTGCTTGAGGCGCTAATCTCCCGGGCTGAGGAAAGGACCCCCCTGGCAGGCTCATGGTTTGCCAGTGTTCTAGGGTCTGTGGGCACAGGATGATGGTTCTTGTTCTGAAAGCATGGTCCCCCATGTGGAAATGGGGGTACGCTGGAACTTTGAAACGGTGGGGCCTAGCACAGGTGGCTGGAGCACAGGGTGGGGTGGGGGCACTGCCCTTGGAAGGAACTGATTGAGTTGTCATGGGACCCTGTGGAGTTCTCTCTAGGCAAGATGTTATCAAAGAATAAGACTGTCCCCTCCCTGCTCCCAGCTTCCTGTCTTGCCTTGTGATCTCCCTCTCGCTCCTGCCGTGATGCTGATGCCATGAAGAAACACGGCCAGAGGGTCCTAGGCAGAGCTGGTGCCCTCCTGTTTGGACTTTCAGCCTCTAAAATTGTGTGCTAAATGAACCTCTTTTCTTTATGTACTTCCCAGCCTGGGTATTTTTCTAGACCACTGGGCAAATGCAGAAACAGGCCCACGGCTGAAGAGCTGTGAACTCAGCAAGAGGAGTTGACTCTCCGGGTCCTGCTGGGCTGGGCACATGGTGGCCCCCTTCCCCAGAACACACTGACCTCAAGTGCATGTGCCTCGTCAGCAGATTCAGAGGGACTTCTCCGTGCAGGGTTTTCTGGTGATAATGATGTCGCTGCCCCCAAGCAGTCTGCTGGGATGCTGACTCCATTGGTGCCACTGCTAGGGACTGTGGGAAGAAAGGAGAGTGGGGAGTGTTGGGCATCCAGCCAGGACCCCTCCAGCCCACCTCTCCTGTAGCTGGTAGAGGTGCTGCACCCCATGTAGGGACCTCCTTTGGACAGTCAAGTCTCCTTAGTAGGAAAGGGCCTGGCATCTCTACTAAAAGCCACTTGCCCTGAGATAAAAGAACAAACAGGGAAAATCTCACAGAAGTGAGGAGGTCTTGTCTTTATTCAAAAAAAGAACTGTGTGAGTTTTCAGTGAGTTCAGAAGCATTACTGCTACTTAACCAAAACAAACAAAAAACAAGAAAACACATACTGGGGAACAATTCTTTATGAAACTAATTTTTTGCATAAAAACAAAAGCKGGGCATGGTGGCACCTGCCTGTAATCCCATCAGCTCAGGAGGCTGAGGCAGGAGGATTGCAAGTTCCAGGCCAGCCTCAGCAACTTAGCGAGACTCTGTGTCTCAGAATAGAAAAGAAAATAAAAGAGCTGGGGACATGGCTCAGTGATTAAGTACCCGTGTGTTCAATCCCCAGTACCAAACAAAAATAAACAGCACCCCCCCCCCCAAAAACCTCCAACTCTGGGCTGGGGTTGTGGCTCAGCGGTAGTACACTTGCCTGGCATGTGTGAGGCACTGGGTTCAATTCTCAGCACCATGTAAAAATAAATAAAGATCTMTATATATATAAAAACCCAACTCTGGAGAGCATATGACTCAAACATTAAAATCTGTCCTTAGCCGGGCTCAGTGGCACGTGCCTATAATCCCAGCGGTTTGGGAGGATGAGACAGAAGGATTGCGAGTTCAAAGCCAGCCTTAGCAAAAGTAAGGTGCTAAGTAACTCAGTGAGACCCTGTCTCTGAATAAAATAAAACAAAACAAATCAAGACTAGGGATGTGGCTGAGTGGTTGAGTGCCCCTGAGTTAAATCCTCGGTACCAAAAAAAATAAATAAATAAATAAAAAAAAATAAAAAAAAATTCTGGCTTTGACTGTTAAACATCAAATTAAGATAATTTCCTCTATAATTAAAAACCCTTCAGAAATATTAACGAGTTCCCTGTGTTGAGAGGCTGAGCTGTTTCTGATGAAGAGTTCTCAATTACAGGGAAAGACCAAAAAGAAGAAAAGCTCATAAATAAGAAAGTTAAGGATTAACTAGAAATAGGAAAAACTGCTCCTGGTATGGATGTGAGGGAGACACAGCTCAGGAGTGGGTGTGAAGTGGGCAGGAAGATGAAAATGTTGGCCCCATGACCATAACTGGCAAGTCTTCTGAAGACCTGTGTGGCTCATGGCTAAGTTTTGTCTGTAGACATGCAGGGACAAATCTACGTTCACAGGCTCAGGTTGGCTTTTATGAAGACAGTGAGTGGGTGACGCATGTCTGACCCAGTCACACTGCCCAGAGCCTCAGGGAGCCTGGGCTGGTTTAAAGGACCTCCTCTGTTCTCTCTGTATTTCTGAGTACACTTAGTGGTTTCCTGGGAGCGCTGGTTCCTGGGCTGCATCTCTTACTGGATTGCGACAGTGCTTTTGGCTGTGGGGCTTGCAATACGGCTGGGCGGAGAACACTGCGCTGCTGTTCCTTGGGCTTCTGGCTTGGCAAACCTGCAATGGAAGTCGGCTTTCCTAGGGCCCTGGATGCCCAGCAGAAATGCAGCACCCCCCCCACTCCCGTCCCCCAGGCACTTCGGAAAAAACTAACCCCCCCGTGTCCCTTGCTGGCTGGATTAGGCAAGGAAGCAGATTTTAGAAAACCTTTTTTTTTTTTTTTTTTTTTACAACTAGACATACAGATTCTAGCTCTTTATGAAATTCCCACATCACCAATCATGACTGTGAATTAACCCAGCTGGTACACTCATCAAGGACAATACTGGACTCAAGAGTGAAGAGAAATCATGTGCACGCCTGTAATCCCAGCAGCTTGGGAGGCCAAGGCAGGAGGATCGAAAGTTTAAGGTTAGCCTCGGCAACTTAGCAAGACCCTGTCTCATAATAACAAATAAAAAGGGCTGGGGCTCCAGGGTTCAATCCCCAGTACCCTCCCCCCGAAAAAGTGAAGAGCAGATGGTGAGGAGGAGGGGAGGGCATGGAATTCACAGCAATTCCCCAGATTTTGGACTCTGGGATCATATAAAGGCATCTTCTGTACCTACTCTTTAAAAACCACATGGAGAAGATCCCTCTGCCAAATACAGGCTGGGCAAGGACCCTGAGAGGAGGTGTTCTGTCCTTGCAGGCTTCCATCTAAGTCCAGAGCAGGGGAGCCAGGCGCTCTGGTCATCAGGTGAACCCTGGCACACTGGGCCACACTCTGGAACCACTGCTGCTGCGGAGCACAGCCCACGCCGCCTCTCCTGCTCTGAGTGCAGAGAGCCCCAGCAGCTCCCTGCTCAGAGAGGTCCTCGTAAGCAGCTTTCCGTAGCTCACAGGTCAGGTCACACCCAGAGAGCAGGCTGTGAAGGAGCCTGGAGAGATCTGAGGAAGCCCTTCCCATCACCTTTCTGGATGTGGGCCACCTACCTGCACTGGGCGCCTGGCCATGGATCAGTGTCGGTGGCTTCAGCCGGAACCCGCTGCTCTTTTCCTCTATAAGCACAAGACAAAACATGAAAAGCAGACCTGCCTGGGGCAGAGCAGCCAAGCCCAGAGGGCACAGGACAGAAGAAGGGCTTCAGGTCTAGCCTCAGTGACCATGGGCCTAAGGAACTTGGGAAACGTTTTCAAATTAACAGAAAGGCAGAAGCTGGGGCCAGCCAGCAGGCAGCTGTGCAGCCCAGGTTGTAAGAAGCACTGGCTCTAGGGCAAAGTGCTGACAACAGGGGACAGGAGGATGAAGGGATCAGCGGAGGTGATAAAGTCCCCCAAGATCAGAGCCCTGCCTCTAGAGCGGGATTCCAGGCAGACAGCTTAGGGTTTACACTCGAGGACAACAGGATTGGTCTCCTTTTTCCTAGAAGACTTGTCCATCAGAGAATGTGTCCAAGGTCAAGAAAAGACAAAGTGGCAGATGGCGGGTTTGCACCACCCCCAGATATGCCCCTGGAGCTTTGCCTTGGTGCTGGACAAGAGCACCCCTAGCCACCTGCGAGAACAGCAAGTGCCCAGGGATCCTGGGAGGGCTAGAAAGCCTGGTTTTGGCACAGTCTGTTGTCCACAGATCCCTTGACTGACAGACAGGTCTCAGTGACCTTGCCCACGGAAGGTGGGGAGGGCAGTCTAGTCTGATCTATAATAGGAAGGATGATCACAAAGGCCTGGGTCTTCTGGAGAGAGCAAGGGTCTAGAGGCAGCCTTGCTTTTATGCTAAGGGTCAGCCCAGGCCAGGGTGCAGGGCATGAGACCAACATATAAAAATCAATTGTATTTCTATATACTAGGGTGAATAGGTGAATACTCCGAAAATGAAATTAAGAAAAAAATTCCATTTTCAACAGCACCAAGAGAAATAAAATACTTGGGAATAAATGTAACAGAAGCAAATTTTGTTGGAAGAATTAAAGACTAATAATATAAAGGGAAACAGAATCCAAGAGGCCACATAGTATATGACTTCATTGATAAGAAATGTCCAGGAGTTGGGTTGTGGCTCATGTGTGAAGCACTGTGTTCGATTCTCAGTGCTGCATATAAATAAATGAACAAAATAAAGACCCATTAACATATAATATATATATATAATGTGTGTGTTTATGTGTGTGTGTGTGTATGTGTGTATATATAATGTACAGAAGGGGTAAATCCACAGAGACAGGAAGTGAAATGGATTCATGGTTTCTGGGGGCTGGGAGAGGATGGGGTGACTGCTCATGATCCCCAGGAGGGCTTCTTTTTGGGGTAGTGGGAAGGTTCTAAAATTAATGATGATCTTAGCAGCATAACTTGGTGGGTTCATTAAGAGCCATTCAACTGTACAAGAAAACGACAACAAAATCTAAGAATCTCATCAGATCAAACTCTCAGAAATAAGATCAAGTCAGAATTCAGAACAAGCAGGAAGGCTGCGGCCCACTGACGAGGTGCTGCTGAGCCCAGTGCTGTGAGGCTGATGTCTCTGGTGTGACAGAGCGGCCACACAACCCCCGAGGAGGTGCCAAAGCACCAGGGAAGAGGCCCGCCAGGTGGTCCATTCCAGAAGGCAAATGCTGAGTTATTAGCTGATGACTAGCTATTTAGTCACATTTTTCAAGTTGAGGTCAAATGCACAATTTAAATAATTTTTCAGAAGCCCTGAGAGCTAGTTTACAACATTTATGTTTTGGCTATAGAATGCTCCTCAGCACCTGGCTGGGTAGAGCCTATGCCAGGCCAGGCTGGCAGGGGCAGAAGGCCTGGGACATCCATCATGGCCACTGAATGGCCTACTCCAAACCTGGCCCACCCTACAGACACACAGGGAATCCATGCTGGGTGCTGCAGTGAATGGACAGACGTCTTGTCTTTTCCTTTCCAAGCACAAGACAAATATGAAAAGTACGCCTGCGTAGGGGTGGGACGCTTCTAATGGCAACTGGGCACGCAGAGGACAGAGGGGGCACAAGGTAGCAGGGAAGTGCGCTTGTGGGGTGGCCAAGCTCTGGAGGCCCTGTTGTAGGACCTGTTCCATGAAACACTTCTTTTAGAAATGCGCTTTGTCTGCAACACAAAGCTTCTGCCTTGTGGGCTGACCCCAATGTCCGCCAYATATCCCAGGTCCTGCTGGGAACAGGCATTGCTTCCCATGGGCCCAGTGGAACAACAGAGTCCCAGGGGCAGCCCCGGTGAGCAAGCAGGCTGCTATCTGAGTGCTTTCTGCCCGCCTCCCAGGGACCCCAAGTGAAGTCTGAAGGAAACAATGCCACCCCGATGGAACTCCTGATTTAGTCAGAAAGATGCCCTGGAACTAAACCTGGCCTGCGCCAGATGGAGGAGAGGATCCCAGAGCAGGTGGCCCGGTGGAAGTGTGCACTGAGCAAGGATGGGATGGGCTGGTCTGGGCTGGTCTGGTCTGCGCGGGATAGGGCAGGGCAGGGCAGGGCAGGGCAGGGCAGGGCAGGGCAGGAGTGGGCTAGGCTGCTAAGGGGTGGGACGAGCTGAGAAGAGGCAGAGTCAGGTTTCTTCCTTGCAGAGGAGAGGTTGGAACATGCACTCTGCCATACTGAATGAAGACCCCTTCTGGCCCTGGGTTATGCAAACAGGCAAGAGATGAAGCAATCACGCAGGTGGAGAGCTGTGCACGTTCCCAGGTCTGCCTACAAGAGGCTCAGAACCCAGACCTTGGATCAAAAGGCCATTCTCTACTACAAAAGGACAGGGTCCCTTTGAGAAATGAGGAAGAGTCCAGGACCAGAACAGGGAAAGATGACAAGCATGGAGTCTCTTGTTGGGACAGAAAGCAAAAAAAGTGTTCAAAAGAACAAAGGGAACCTGAGGAAAGGGGAGAAGTGCTGACCAAATTATGTTGTTATGTTGTGAACAGGTACAAATACGTAAGGACAAACCCCATTATGAACTACAGTGCACCAATTAAAAAAATGTGAAAACAGAACGAAGGGCACCTGACCCAGCAACACAGGAATTTGCCCGATTGGGGTGGGGGAAATGACTTCACGTGATTGGTGCAACTGGTGAACTATGTTCAAAGCAAATGGTACAACTGGATGATTTCACCTCTTTGAACCATCAAGGGGAATCCTGCTAGCAAGAGGACAAAGCCAATATGGTGCGCACCAAGAACAGGTGTCCCTCCTGGGGGTTCCCACCCAAGACACTCCCTGGGTCTCTTCACCAAACCCAAGGACTTTCACAAGACCCATGGCCTACAACCTTCACAGATGGAAATGTGACACTCTGGTTTAGCAGATGGAAAGTGAGATACACAGGGTGCGACATGGACATGATCCCTCTACCGTAAAGACGCAGTGGACAAATGAAGGAAGTGAAAGGCAGTCTCCAGGTGACAGTGTTGTGGAAACATTCTACTGAAGGTTTTCAAAATTAAAGTTAAAAAAGACGTGAAGTTCACTGTGTAGCTGCCCTGACACGCCTCCCACATGGCCAGCACTAGGGTATCAGGGACTTTAAATCAAGGCTTTGTCTAAGCTGTGGAATGGACCCCAGCCATCTTGGCTTCCTGGGCCACCTGCTCCTAATACTAGTGGACAAAGAGGAGAGGGGAGACTCAGAGGTGCATCTGAAGAACGACTCGTACCTGTGCTCACAGCGCTCCCATGATGGATAATGGAGACCACAACCAGGGACTGGACTGGCGGACTTTGCCTCCATGGTTCAGAATGCTGCCTGCCCAAGTGACACCCAGGTACAACCTACCGGCTGGCTCTGAGGACCTTGAAGAACCAAGCTCCTCCTTGAGATGAGGTCAGGGGGTCAGTTGAAACAGTTAACTTCTAGAGTCAAAATGAATTCCACTGTTTCAAATTACGCCACCCAAGTTATAAAAACTCACGTCACCTCTTTCCTTGCCAGCATGGGACTTATCTCACAACGCTTCTGAAGTTGGCAATGGGTTTATATAAGGCAGGTTGGGTTACAGAATGTGGGTTGTTAAACTTGCTCACTAAATATTTTATGGGGAATTCCAGCCATGTGGGAGAAATTTTCAAGAAACTCTGGAGTTGGTTCTCTAGCAAAAGACCAAAAAAGGAAGGCTCTTGTACTCTGCAGAAGGGATCACATTGTTTTCCTCAGCTTTAAAGTTGCGATGATACATACTTATCTGAAAAGACCTGGGCAATATTAATGTGAAAATTTAATACACAGAAATGGATCTGGAAAAAAAAAAATCACATGTGCTTCATAGTAGCTATTTTGGGGTAGGAGAGTAGAGAGGGGGCAAGGGAATTTCTCTTCCCTTTGTTTTTTTTTTTTTTTTTTTTACATTATGAATATATTGTGTGAAAATTTGAAAATAAATCTCTCTGTCTCCCCCTCCCTCCCTCTCCCTCTCCCTCTCCCTCTCACACAGTACTGGGGATTGAACCCAGGGTGGTTTTTTGTTTGTTTGTTTCCAGGGCGTTTTTTATTTTGAGACAGAGTCTTGCTAAGTTACTGAGAATCTCACTACTGTGTGTATCTCAGGAAAATCCCCAGGGACTGGTGGACGGGCAAAGGGACATGAGGTCTCACCTGGGTCTGAGTCAGAATTGCCTGCAGAGGACTCGCAGAAGGTTGATGGCATAAAAACATTGTGTTTTGACACTGTCGGCATGGAGATGCAGGCGGGGGAGGGAACAAGAGGGAAAAGAGCATGAGTAGGCGGGGCACACAAGGGGGGATTCTCTTGCGTGCAGGAGCATGAAGACAAGCATTTAAACTCTCAATGAGAGTGGAGCCTGTCCTTACAGCCTCAAGTGGTCTGACAGCTGGCTGCCCATCTTAGCTCATACTCCCAGCCCTACCTTGGCACCCTGGGCCCTGGCAGGGGCAGCTGGCACATAGGGCCTCACTGAAGGCTGCCTCAGCCCATTTCTCCTCAGCAGCAAGGCGTGTGCCCTACCCTGATGGTTTAAGATTTTTCTTTACAGCAGCAATTGCTTCTTGGGGTGTGGGCCAGCCCACAGGGTCCACAAATGAAGTGGAACTCCCTGAGCAACAGCTTGAGTGCACCGAGATGGGCTGCAGCAAAGTGGAACTGGAGGGCAGCATAAAACTAATGCTCACCAATCTCCAGCTCCACTTCTGCCCCGACATTGTGGTGACTGAGTAGGAAGGGAAGCTGCCTCCTCCTACAGGAGCACCTGTCCAGGTGTGCAGAAAACTTTAAACAAGGATGCAAACCAACCAGGCAGCTCCTTAATATCTGGGGACAAGTGACAGCATGTCCACTCGGGGGCCTCATGCAGCTGATAAGGGATGTGGCAATATCCAAAATAGACATTAAGGGCAGGAGGCGTGACAGCATTGCTGGACGCTGCCTCTGCCCTGTGCTCCTGCAACGTGTGCATCTCTGTGTGAACAAAGCCACGTTCTGAGTGATCTTTCCCTTGCAGTGATAGCCACGGCCACGCCACGAAGTTCACAACTGCAAAACGTTTTCTGTGAACTTCCCAAGAATGCATTTTACTTTGTGCAACCAGAACTCATCTCTACACACATGTGCCTCCAAACTGGTGATGCACACAGACCACAAAACAATACCAGTGTGGACCAAGTCACTACGGGGAATAGCCCAGGGCCAGCGGTTACCCTTGACCCTGCAGGGCAGCTGCATTCTGGAGGCGAGGACCAGGTTGTCTAAGCTTCCTGAGTAGTCCCAACTACTCTGTCCTAGAAACCTGCCTCTGCCAGACTGCCTGTGTGCCTAAGGGGCTGTTGCCTCCACACTGCACGGATGCCCTGGGTATAGTTTAAGACTTTTCTTTACAGCAGCAATTGCTTCTTGGGGTGTGGGCCAGTCCACGGGGTCCACAAATGAAGTGGACCTCCCTGAGCAAGAGCTTGAGTGTACCGAGACGGGCTGCAGCAAAGTGGAACTGGAGGGCAGCATAAAACTAATGCTCTGGCCCTTCCTCCAAACCTCATCAAGTCCCCTCCCCTGGGCTGCTCCACTGTCAGTGCACAGTGTCACAGCAGTCTCAGGAAGGATTATGAATGGTCAGAGCCCCTCCCAAAAGGGCTCTCGATGCTCGGCCCTTGTCTCCTACTTCAGAGGCACAATTTCTTTACTGTCATCCTCTGTCTGCTAAGTCTCACCATGCTGCTAAGTGTCACTGACTGCACATAGGGCAACTTCTGAGTTCATTCCTGAGAGGCCACATCTCAGGCTGATCCTAACTGATCTGGGCAGGGGTCAGATGGTGGATGTGAGGTGTCAGAAGGGAACAATAAACGACAAAAAGATAAATGCTCTTATCATTACCTGACTGTGAAGGTGGGAACTGGGTTAAAGAGGACGTTCTTTCTCGCTTGACAGGAGGGCAGTAGTTTCCATCTTCTCGGTCAGAATCTACAGAAAATAATGAGGAAGAGGATGAACATCAGGCTATCTCTGCCTTCACCACCAAAGATGGCCATTCGCTTTGGAGACTTCCTTACCTTCTCCTGCTTCAGGACTGGAGCCTCCAGCTGACCTCTGAAACAAGAGCACATGGCAGGCTGGTGAGAGGGTGGTGGGCGTCCCAGGACCCAAGCCCCAGCTCTGGAGCCAGTGGTGCTCAATGCACAACTGGGGCCAACTCCTGGTGCTGTCTCTGCTGCCTTCACAGAACTTCAGCCCACTCAGAGGCAACTTCTGACTGCTTTTTGTGGTGGCTTCCCAAACCCAGAATCCTCTTCATAGCTCAAAGACTCCCAGCATGGGACCAGGTTCTCTGCTTCTCCACAGGTCACAGCTGACTGGCATGCCACCCCCAGACTCAAGCACAGCACAACTTCACCTGGCCATGATTCATCCTGCCAAGAGCTGACAAGCGACCCTCTCCACCGCAAGGGCAGCAGGGTTGTTTGAAATGGCCACTTAACACTGGATCCACTTGGTGTCCACTCCTTGCCCAGGAACAGCCTCCTGTTTCAAGCTGGGTATTACTGCCACAGAGGGTGAAGGCTTGATGCTTGGGGTCAAAGTCCACTGCGAAGCGTTTGGGACAGAACCATCTAACCCTGTACAACAACTTTTGGACCACAGAACCACCACAAGCCAAGAGAAGGGGGCGCAAAAATTGCCTCCTTTTACAATTTTTAATTCCAGAATATAAACAAGTAGCAGTTAAGATTTAGAATGAGCGCCCCCAACCCCATACACAGTCCCTCACATAAGCCCCTTCTTAGGGGTGTATTGTTCTCCAGACCTCAGCAGACACCAGCAAACTCTGAGGAGGGAAGGAATACCATTTCATTTAAGAGTGAGAAGAACCAATTTCCTATTTTTGAAAAAATCTCCTCAGGAGTCAAGTTTGGCCACAGGAGGACTATCTGCCTCAATGAGCTGTTAGGGAGTAAATGAGATGATGCATGTGAAAGTTCTCTGCAAATTGCAGAGCAGTGTGTGAAAGAAGTAACTGGAATAAATAAAACTGAAGGTGACAGGGACCAGGAGAGATCCTCCCGCAGGGAGAAGTGCTGGCACTTTTTTTCCATAAAGGGCCCGTCAGTGCTTTGGCTTGGCAGGCCACATTTGGCCTCTGCTACATTCTTTGCTTTTCCCTTATAAATCTTTAAAAATGTAAACAATGTCTCAGCTCCCCAGCTGTACAAAAACAGGCCGTGGGCCGGAGTCTGCAGCAGCCAGAACCCAGAGAGGGTAGGGGTTTCTTCAAAGTCACACAGCTAATTTACAACAGTCAGAAAAGGACCGCAATCTGGAATTCCTCCTTTGCAGCTCAGGTTTGTGTCAGGAGAGCAAGCTGCTTGAGGTCTGTCACGAGAGCTCTGTGGAACTGGTCCTAGGAGACTGTGTAAGGTGAGGGAAAGTTGTCACTAACCCCGTGTGTGTACCTGGGCAACTGAGAGGATTAGAGGTTACTGCCATCCAAATGCTGGGGAAATAAAATCCTCTTAATACCACGTATGGAGTCTCTTGTTTTTTACTATTATTTTAAAAATATTTTGATTAGTTGTTAAAATTATTTATTTGTATATGATGCTGAGAATAGAGCCCAGTGCCTCACATATGCTAGGCAAGCACTCTACCACTGAGCCACAATCCCAAGCCCCTCTTTTATTTATTTGTTGTCTCTGGGGATTGAACCCAGGGTTGCTCTACCATTGAACCACGTCCCCAGGCCTTTTTATTTTGAGGCAGGGTCTCACTAACTTGCAGAGGTTGGCCTTAAACTTGTGATCCTCCTGCCTCAGCCTCCTGAGTAGCTGGTATTACAGGTCTGTGCCACCGGGCCTGGTTGTGGTGGTTTTCCTCAGTGATGGGGAAACTGTGAAAGTATCAGTGCCCCAAATGAAATGAGGTCCTTGTGTCCAGTATGCCTGCTCTGAGGCTGCACTGAGCAGTGCTGGGATGTGAGAATAGGGCCCCAGGTCGTACCCATGCCGTCCCCCTCCCGAAGGCATGCAGAAGGGATCCTGGCTTTGCTGATTTTATTTTCTATGGGGCTGAATGCCGGGGTGGGGGGGGGTGTCTTGGTTCCCTGACACTGGGGATGCCAATGTCTTCCTGGCAGGGAGGGCTCTGGGCCTTCAGAGATGAGGCAGGTGGAGCCCAAAAGACAGACAGGAAGCTTAGCTCTTGGTGTGATTACAACTGCTCACTGTGTGGCTAAACTCAAAGCTGGCCCCTGCTGGTTAATGCTAGACCCCTGGGTTGCATAGGCACAGGGCTTCCAAGTTCAGGGGACAGGCTGACTGGCAGAACCAGGTCTTGTGAACTAAATCCTGGGTCCAGCCACAAGGTGAGGTAACTTGGAGGACCCGTGAAAGGGTTTAAGATGCATTCCTATAGTGCTGTGAGGCCAGAGGCTGAGTAGTGTTTGATTGTACAGACTGTGCCACTGGCTTGCCACCAGGTCTACTCTCTTGGGATCATCCCTCTCTAGAGGGACATCAGGGGGACACAGGCCCCAGGCACCACTCACCCTACCTACTAGCAAAGGCGAGAGGAACAGAGACAGCAACTACTTGCCCTGGCGCTGCAACCAGCAGGCATCCTAGCCAGGCCTCACACCAGCTTCCTGACCCTGGCAGTGGAGAAAGGGCAAGGACACATCTTACCCACCCTCTGAGCCCTGCGGCCTCCCAGCACTTTGATGAAGGTCCCTGTGCGAGGCCAGCCATCTTTCCACAGCCCGATATTCTTGGGTGTGGCACTGCCCGCCTTCCCTTGTCCTCCCACGTATTTCTAATGGCCGGCCCAGCACATCCCCACCCCTACATCTCAACCCATGGTTCTAAAAAGCTCTTCTTTCGTCCTATAATTTAACGAGCATCTTGACTTTACCGAAACCTTCTGTGGTCACCTCCTTGGTCCTGGGAAACCTTCCCTTTCCTGAATAACTTCTGGCCTGGAGATGGTCGGCTCTCAGAGCTTCACACCACTGCAGACAACCTGCTCCCTCATCCAGGTATGCCCTGCTTTCCTCAGACAGGAATAAAAGCCTTGGTGACTCAGTCTTGTTGCTCCTTACACTTTCCCTCTGTGGCTTCAATTTCGACTCAGTGATCTGTGTTAGAGCCCATGCAGTAGACTCCCAAGTTCTAGGAGAGAACTGGTCCTCGGAACTTGCTGGGATTTGTTCCAACAAAGAGATGCTGTCCTAGACACTCTGCAGGCCATGGACAGACAGCAAAGGCTTGTGCCCTGGCCTTATCTGTACTGGTGTCTGGGCCAGGATACCTGGGCGTCTGTCTTCCTGCTCTTTCAGCTCCCATAAGGATATCTGCATCATCATTGCCACCAAGGCCTCTGCATCTGGCCACCTGTGACCACACATGAGCTCAGTGAGTCTGTGTGAATTTCCTGGTTTTCCTTCTGTTAAGAAGAATTTCTAATTTCATTCCACTGCGGCTGGTGAATGTACTTTGCATGACTTTAATCCTTTTAAATTGGAGAGGTGTCTGTCCATCCTGCAGAAGGTCCCTGTGCATGGTGAGGATGAGTGCCCTGTTGCCAGGGCTGGTTGGCTTCCAGGGCTGCTTGGTCCTCCTCTTCCCATCATCTTTACAGTAGTTCTACTGAAAGCAGGGTGCTTTCTCCTTTCCGTTCTGTTGGTTTCTGCTTTGAGTATTTGGGGCTCTTTCCATGACACAAACACATCTTAGTGATCTGTCCCTAAGAATGTGATGGGTGCTACGGATCTCCCTCCAGAGTGGAGTAGCCAGGTCATGAACTGACGCCTCTGGGGCTCCCACCTGGCCTCAGAGGTCTTGTGAACAGCTCTGGCAGCCTGCTGCTTGGCACGCCATCCTCCCCTCCAGCACACATCCAAATCTAGTCAGTTGGAGCACGAGAGCACATTCACATGGTCACACCTCCATGGCTCCTACTTGCAGCCAGCAGCTGGCCTCCCACCTGCCCCTGCAGATGGCCCACTCTGCACACTGTGGCCACGTCCGCCTGCTTCTGACCTGACTCCTGAGAGCCCTTGGTGGCCTCCTGCAGCACAGGGTCCTCTCATCCTGCACTACTTCTCCCTCTTGCCACCCTGGCTCCTTCCTGTTTTCTAAGCTCCTCCCCCCAGCATGGGGCACCTTCTCCCTCAGGGTCCACTACTGTGACAATCACCACTGGGGCACACCTGTGCTCATTCTCCAGCCCAGCTGTGGTCCCTCTGGCMCCTCCCTGCCCTGTTTTGCCCAGCAGAGTCTGTCTGGTGTCTGTCTCCCATGACTACACAGCTCAGAGCAGCAGCCAGGGCCCTGGGCACAAAGAGCATTTGGTGAGGATTTGCAGCCCACACGAGGTCCATGTCCTCTGCTGTACCTGCTTTGGTGACCCTGAGAAGAAAGGGTGCCTCGTCAGATAAAACTCAGATGCTCCCTGGCCCGACCTCAGGAGACCCTCAAATCCATGCCCCGAGTCTCTTCTAAGAACCTGCTCACAGGAAAGCGGTGGCCTCTTGGTCCTGGGAGGGACGATGCAGGAGTCTTCCTCCTGGGGAACCTTCCAGGTGCTGCTGGAACCTCCAGTGAGGAAATGCCGCCATGACTCCTCTTTAGGACTAGAGGAAGGATGCGGGAGAGGGTGCCTAAGACAGCATCCTGTCTGCTGCTTTTAGACATGCCAGCTCTTCTGGAGCCCTCCATGGCTGCCCACGGGGGGCATCACCTGTCCCCCGCCCTTACAGGGCCCCCTTGCTCCACACCCTGCAGATGGGAGGGTTTCTCTCTCAGGACAAGGTTGGGCTTGCTGTCTGCTGGCTTGTGCCATCTTCCCCAAGGCAGGAAAAGGTTTGGGATGCGGGACCCTCTTCAATCACCTGGCCCCACACAAGGCCTACACCAGCTTCACACTTTCCACCTCCCTTAGACTCTAGGGTACCCAAGCAACCTGGGGGGCACTGTTCAGCCCACAGCCCAAGAGCCACTGGGGAGACTTGAGAAATTTCAGAGCACTTTTTGAGGAGTACTGAGGACAGAAGCAGGGTGAAAGAATCTCACTTCTTTCTCCACTTCTTCCCTAATTTGACTCCACCTTTGGCGATTAGGACTCCAGGATGATACCCCAGAAACACTGGGTTGAACACTCTGTGGGGAGCCACTCCAGATGCACGCACCTTTAAGTCTTGATGCACCACAGGGATCTGAAAGATCACTGCAGTCTGGCGCGGTAGTGCCATGACTCGTGACTTGGTCTCTTCTCTCATTTGGATAATAAGGTGTGGCCCTGGGAGTAGGTGGCACCCAGAGGGGTTGAGCTACACTCACCTGTTCCCTTATAATCCTATCCCTTGCCTCATTTGAATGGCTTTTCCCCAATAAAAGGGTTCAGCACGTGCTCTCTCTTTCCCTCTACACCTAAGGTTGGAGGAGTTGTCACAGGACCCAAAGAAAAAGGTATTTCTCTGTCTCTGTGTGGTTATTTCGTGCAGCCCAGTTCACCTGGAGTGACCTTGAGTGTTTAGTCATGGAACTCGACAACACTCATTTGGGACACTACAATAAAAACATTCCTCACTGACAACCACACCAGAAAGCAGAGGAGAAAGATGGCCAAAGACGACCCTTGGACTTATTTCCCAGGCGTCAGGAGAAGGCACGAAGCAGGCTCTTAAAGAAGACTCCTTATTTGTCTGGACTGAGGACAGGCCAGCAGCCCTGCTAGCCTGCTGCTATCTAAGGTGCATGGGTCCCTGTCACCAAGTATAGATGGGGCAGTCATACCTAACCCAAAATGGGACTGTGGATTCAGGGGCATCTGGTTTTGCATAGAGGATAACATGGTGAACACCGTAATGAGTACATTTGTTCAGAATCTGTCCCTCCAAAATACACGGCTCCTGTAAGGCTGCCTAGAGTGGCCCCAAGAATGAAAAAAGGGGCCAGGCTGACCCAGGGAAGGGGACAGAGCTGGAGCTGCCTTCAGAAGCTGATCCACAGATGAGGACAAGTGGGCAGTGAGTAGGAATGAAAGGCACTATCTCCCCAACCCCCTGGAAAAGGCCAGAGAGCAAGGCCCAGCCAGGTAATCCTCTTGATAACAGCGCCTACAACGGGGCCTGATGGAGCCTAGGATGATCCCCATCTGCACTGACCAGTTAGAAAGCCTGGCTTCTTGTAGCTGCAGGAAGATGAGTGCCCGGGAGGAGAAACAGAATGTTGGCTACTTCACGGCTGTTTATTCACAGCTGTGACAGGCCACCAGCTCAAAGATGCTTACTAAAGAGACAGACACTGAAAAAACCCTGAAGAAAGCAGAGAGACTGCCTTGAAGGTCTGGGTGGTGGGGGAATGAGGTGGACAGCCAGTCTGAACGACCCACATACTCCTTCCCACCATCAGAGAGGCTCTGTCGGTCATTTTCATAGTGACCTGGACATTGCCCCGATCCTCGAAGTAGTGGAAATGTGTTCAGACGTAGGTGTGCTGCCCATGGACAGAGCTTCGCCCACCTGTTCCTCGGTGTCGTTACCCCTTGCCCTGTTTGGGATAGAATGTTCCATGGAAACACTTTGGGTGTCCCCTTCTCTTGCTCTGCCCTTGGGGGTGGCCTTCCTAGATGTCAGTCAACCTGCTGACAGCAGACATCACGAAGCCAGACTCGGCCCCCCGAATCCTGACCCTGGCCTCATTTGAATGGCTTCTCCTCAATGAAAGGGTTCAGCACTGGCTCGCTCTTTCTGTGGACCCTTAAGGTCAGAGGAGCCGTCACAGGACCCAAAGAAAAATCTCTGTCTCTTGTGTGGTTATTTCATGCTGCCCAGTTCCCCTGGAGGGACCCTGAGTGTTTTAGTCACGAAGAACGTGACAATTGGAGGCCCCACAGGGATGAGGTCATGCCTTTGTGGGAGCTGGGAGGAGAGAGGAGGCTGCCAGCCAGAGGGCTCGCTCCTGACTGCCTGCCACTTCTCGTGGGCCTAAAACACATTTGGAGCTTGGCAGTGACTGGCCCAGAGCGTTAGTCCAGCTTGATTCCAGCAAGCTCAGAGTAAGCACGGAAAGCTGCCTGCTTCTCCAGAGACACTGAATTTAGTCTGCTTGAGGTTTGGTCTTCTCAGTCTTGTCTTCTGAGAGCCAAAAGTCTTAATATAGAGAGACTTTTTCCTGGTACTGAGTCCTCAATGGCCAGAGCTCTGAGGAGACTGAAAGATGATAAGGGCCTTTTATAAGCAAGCCACTCTTTATTATAAAGAATGCCCAGGGGTCATGGAACAGAGAACAGACCAAACGTGATGAACAAGACCTGCTGGGTAACAGTGGGTGGTTTCCTGGTTTCCTGAGCACCAATGTGGGGCAGAGCAAGATCCAAATTTGCTCTGATACAAAAGAAACAGTCTGTATCACTAGAGAAAAACCTCAGCCCAAGAAGAAGCAGGGTCAGGGTCTACCTGACTTGATTTAGGGACTGACTGACCTACAACAAAGTTTCATTTTCCTTGAACAAGCCCAACTAGTAGAGAAAGCCAATTAAGAGGAGCTGCTGGGAACCAGCCTGATTTCTCTGTGGAGAGCCCAAAGCAGCAAGCCTGATTGGCTTAGAGCTGTCACCAAGTGCTAGGACAGTGCTGTGTCCAAGATCCCTGAGGTTACCAACTACAGCACACACGTGTGCTGCGTGGCTGGCTGTCAGTTCATTTATGACCTGCTGCCCTCAGCCCTGTAGCCCTGGCTCTGTCCACGATGGCTTAACTCATCCTGAGGCTCCAGGCCATGATGCTTCACGTTTTCTTGGCCAGTCTGGGAACTGCTTGTGTTCCTCAGGATCAGAGTCTCTAACCTGAAGACCACAAGAATCAAGAAGCCAGGTTTCACAAAGGACCCTGCCCAAGGCAGCCAGATCTCAGAGACACATCATGGTAAGAAGTGAGGCCCCACCAAAAGCCAGGGGCCCCTGTGCTCTTGAAAAGCAGCTGCCATCACAAAAGGTTTGTGACTGCCCTATTAGCTACTCTCACTCTGAAACCTGCCACTTCAGCAGCTGCAGGGTCCGCTGCAAGCTGCGCTTCTCAAGTTCTGGTCCTGTCTGTTCTCAGAAGCTGTGCTCTCGAGGACCAAAGAAGACCACATGCCCAGGAACTCCCACTGTCCGACTCACTCTATCCCAAGTTTTCAGGAGCTGCTCTGCCAAAAAAAAGAAAAAGGAAAGATTGCTCCGCCAGCCCTCGGGCACTCTGGTGTGAGGGCCACACTCCTGGGGCACTGTGGTACGCTCTTGCAGCTTCTGAGTAAGTCTCAATACCTGAGCCCACTTCTGCACCCTGAGGGGCGCCCCTTCCCCCACAGACCCTGGTATGTGGCACCTGACAGACTCTATTACACACCAATTCCTCCAAAATGTTAAAAGAGGGCTCCAACTTCCTTCTGCATGTCCTAGGGCTTGGTGGCTGTAACTGAATCTTCATGGTTTCCTTAAAAACAGGAACTGGTGGTGGAAGGAATCACTCAGGGGTGGGGGAAGTATCTGGGACTCTGGTACCCTGGGGTTTAGAGCAAGCAGTCGGGCCAGGGCCTCTGTTCCCTTGTTATGTCATGAAAGCAGGGGAGGGGTCTTCTATCATTAGACAACCGAAGGACAGAATTTTCAATCCCAAATATAGGACGATGTTTACCTTTCCCAATGTATTAAACTTCAAAAACCCACGATACTTCCTGCTCACAAGAGTTTGATTGTTTCCACCTTTATCTTCAAAATCCTTCATAACACAAAGAGGAAGGGCACAAAGGAGGGGCTTTTCTTCTTCCTGCTTTGAATGTGGACAAGCAGTTCACTGCCTAGCCACAGTCCAAACAGAACCAGTCTTGCAGCATGACTGGGGCTAGATGACTCTTCTTCCAAGGGAAGCCAGAGCTCCTCAGAGTTCTAAGACATTGAACTTAAATGCCCAAGTTCAGAGACAGGAGAAAGAGAAGGGGTAGAATTTGATTTGGAAGGCTCTCCCCTACTATTTAATTCCTCTTTTGACCACTGTGTCTCTTTCAGGAAGCAGGATTAGTCTCACTACGGGTACAGACATCCCCACCTAAAAAAGACTAACCATAAAAGAGGAGTTAATCTTCCCAACTTTTATTAGATGACTGAAGGGAGCTGTGATCATTGACTGCTTATGCTGATCTAGGGTCTGGATGAGAGGGACCCCAGGGAAAGGGCTCGTTTGGGTGGCTCCCCTGGGGCAGCGGGGGTGCCGGGTGATTGGACTTACCCCTGCCAGTTCTCGTGGAAAAGGAAGCTGGGCTTCAGGAGCGGGAAGCGGAGGAGTGCTGGCTGAAGTGCTAGCAGGGGCGGGAGGTTCTAGGGCATGCTCACCAGCTGACTCGGGGTGACCCGTGCCATGGTGGGGGGCCTCAGCCTCCCCCTGAGGCTCCTCTCCCGAATCCGACAAGTCTTTTTGCTCTGCAGAGGACTGGGAGCAAAAAAGACAATTTTCCTTCAATGTAAAATAAAGGCTGCACCAAGGGGCAGGGGAGGGCAGGGGTGGTAGGGCTGGAGATGGCTCCACCCTCAGGGAGGAGGGGCCAAAAAAACAAGCTCCTAGACTGCTTTGCTCAGTGGAACTGGTCCTCTCAACAGGGGCAGAGCAAAGTGAACTGTTTGACTTGGCAAGGAGGTAGGAGGTGTCCAGGAAATCCAGATCCTCATTTTCAAAACTTGGGTGGCTAGTATAGCTAACTGTGCTTATGGGCCTTGAGGAAGAAACAATTCTCTTGGTGACAAAGAAAGGAGATGATTATGCTAAAGACTCTTTAACCCCCAGGGGCTGGTCCACTTCTGCTTAGCCATGCTGACCACACCACTGGGGCCAGACCACTTCTGTGCACAAGGAGGTGGGGAGGTGGGCCTGGAAACATGGTTAGATGTGAAACTGGGAGCCTAAGGCATAGGCTTCTGGACTTCACCACCATTCTTCTGGGAGCTTTCTGATCCTCCTGCTCACACCTGAGGTGGAGGAAGTGCCTCTTGCCTCGGGGAACATAGGTGCGCAACAGAGGCACTGCGGCAGGGCAGCTTTTGGATCAGCGAATAGGTGGGTGGTGCTCAGCTGGAGGAGGGGGCAGGGCGCATCCACAGAACTCCTTGTTCTAGGACTCTGCAGAGTTATCTGGAGAAACTTGGAAAATAGCCAAGTTTGGAGAAAGCTGCTTCCAGAGGTCTCTGTTCCCAAGGTACCACCCCAGCATCCTCTGGGGTGCACCCTGGTATTCCAGACAGGCTTCCATGGGCTAAGAGCTGTGGCCACATTCCACAACTCTTCCTGAGAAGTGGGCTATAAACCTGATGTCCTGACATATGGGGCTGTAGTCCCCAAACCTCCTGTGAGGACTCTCTAACACTGTGGAGCTGCTTTGCCCTGTCTCCCTGCAGACGTGGCTGTGTTTTCTTGGCAGCAGTGACTGACCTCCTCAGAAAGGGTGCTTCTTTCTTTCTTTAACTTAATTCTATTTTTTGAGATGAAGTCTCACTCTGTGGCCCAGGCTGGCCTCAAACTCCTGGGCTCAGGTGATCCTCCTACCTCAGCCTCCCAAGTAACTGGGACTACTAGTGGGTCACTATGTTGCACCTGGTGCTACGTTTAAACATGTGATCCTACAGGAGGAAATGAACTACATAAAGGAGTAAGAACTTCCCAAAGTTCTTTGGAATGCCAGACAACACATTAATGTATTCTTCTGTCTCAAGAGTCACCAAAGGGACAGTCTCTATTCAGGGAAATCCAATGACAGAGGCCTTCCCAGGGGCAAGGTGGTCAGTCCCAGCCACCAACATCTGTTGCTACTTTATGGAGAGAGATTTAACAACTTGCCAGGGAAAATTAAACCCAGAGCTCTGTGAGAAACGGCTGTCTCTAATCAGAATCACTTGAATGTCTTGAACCCCTGCTTCTGGAATCTAAGTCTTCTAATGCCCTTGGGGAGGATGTGAGGGGCAAGCAGAAAGACCCAAATGATACCAAACTTCACTGTCTACCAAAGAGTCTTAAAAGGGCTGAGAAATGTCACATCACTCCCTCTCTCGATTCAGAAATTTTTTGGAAGAAATAAGGAACATCATTCCAGCATCTTCTACTTGGGTCCTAGTGTTTTTCCTGGGCAAGGGCAGTATGCACTCAAGAGCCCAGGTAGGACTATAGTTCCCAGCACGTGTGGAAACATCAGACATCAAGACTTCACCAGCCTGAAATATGCCAAATGTGTGACAAAAAACAAAACAAAACACGAGCATGGGGTGAGCATCAAACCAGGTCCAAACACACCGCGATAGCACTTCCAGGGCCACTGCACTTTCCAAGCAGCACTCACAACCGCCTGTGTTCTCACAACACGGGCACCCTCCTGCTAGAGGGACCGCAGAGCCCTGCAGGTTAACCAATGCTCTGGAGGGAGGGTGACTGAGAGAAGCGCTTGGACATTTCTTTGTGCCAAAAAGAAGGACCCATCTCCATTCAAGACAATTCAGAAAAAAGGCTTTGGTTTTATCCTAAAACACCAGCGCCTGCGAACCCCATGTTTCCTGAAGGGAGCTGTCCTGGTGGCAGAGGCACAGGGAAAAAGCCAATAAAACTCCGGGGCCACCCACTGGCCACAGTCGTTGAAGTCTGGCCCTGCAATCCAAGCACCCACCATTTTTCTTAACACAAAGTAAGAGGGCCAGGCCACTTGTCCCAAGGCTAAGTCATACCCCAAGCATCTCACAGCAAAGGCAATACAGCACGTGGACTGGACCCACAGGGCACATAAGGGCTCTGCCACTGAACAAAAATGGAAGCAATGGGCTGGTAGCAGAGCTTCTCTCTTTCCCTTTGAAATCCTTCTCTTTCCTGATTCAGCAACACCACAGGGCACAGGGACACCCTCCTCTGGAGGAATGAGCTCTTTCCCGTGAAACCTCCTGGGTAGTTTGAGATCATTTACTAAAAGATAAGTTAGTTGCTTCCACAGTTGACAATGGAACTTCTTGATCTTTGGGATCAAGCAGTAGTTAGGAAGGAAAAAAAAAATCATTACAAGAGACATCTGAAGGGCAATTTAAAATACGAACCATATTTTGAAGTCTATGACTGTACCCATGATCTCGGGAGTGACATTGTCCCAGGTCCACAGAGGAGAACGGCCCCACTCCTAGATACTTGTGGAAGACTTTAGGGGGAAATGGCATATGGGCACCATTTACAGCTGAGAGCTTTAGCAATGAGAAATGCCAGCAGCAAATTGAGGTGACAGATGCCCAAGCATTCAGCGCCAGTCTGCTTTACTCAGACTTCAAATGAAATTCAAAAATTTAAAAATAAAAAATGTTGAAGCAAAAAGGGGGAAAAATAGTCTGCTTAGAAAATTCCAGCAGTTCTGATGGCTGACTTCTGACTGGGCTTCAGCCGGAAGAAGGGGAGCAGCTGCTGGTCATGCCAGAGGAAGGAACCCAGAAGCCAGCTCAGATTCTCATTCTTGGCAGATATGAAAGAGAAGTGTGGCTGCTCCTTGCAGAGCTGCCTTGTAGTGTCCCTTGCACTAGGAAGCCAAGGAGAAGCTAAGTCAGGTATCTGGCCCACGTGTTCTGCCTAACTCTCGACAGTCCTTAAGCTGCAGAGAAAAGCAGAGTGGAAGACTGCATCCACCTGGACCCGGCCGCTGGGCTAGGGACCCTACCAACAGAACCTGGCTTCTCCTTTCAACACAGATGTTTCTTGCATGCCCTTCAGTGATCTTGCCACAGAAGTGTCACAGAAGTGGGGCAATGAACTCCCAAGAGCTGGAGGGCAGTTATTTTTAGAAGCCCATTTGGAATTGGCTCTGAGTCAATATTTTGATAAGAGCACTTACACATCTCTTAAGTGACTCAAAGCCTTCCTAGCTAACCTACCAGCTCAGGTTCAAGGCCCACCTTTTAAGGTGATTTGCACAGATCTCTGGAAGGTCATCCTTTTAAATCAGCTCAACTTCCTAGCTGTGAAAGAGTATCAAGACAGGAACTAATGATTTTAAATTCATCTGAATGAATATTACATTTCAGTGTTTCAGCTGAGCTGGTTGTCTTAAAGTCTTCATTATTAAGTCCTATTATTTGTTGGCAAACTTCTACAGAGGTCAAAAAGACACTAAATATCTAAAGATACTAGATAAAGATACTAAATATCTCTTATTTCTTTTGGTGCTAGGGATGGAACCCAGGGCATGGCACACGCCAAGCACCTACACCACCACTGGGCCACAAGCCTATGCTGAAGGACTCTGCAGCCCGGTCTGTCCACACCCTGCTGCTATGTAGCCATGGAGGTCTGCAAAGGGTATGGCATGGCCATGCTCCAGTAAAATTGTTCACAAACAGGTGCTGGTAGAGGGCCTTAGTGTGCCGACTCGTTTTAAACGGAATGCAGTCCAAGATCATTATAAAACCCCAAATCTAGAAAAGTCCTGATTTTATTGAACACTGGAAAGAAATGACCTGAACATCTAAAATAGAGATCTAACACAACACATCCGGTTCCTAAGGGCTTTATTGAACATCCTGTGTCTGAAAAATTCAGCCCCTTCATATCCATTGGCCCAGCAAAGCACATGTCAGAGTCTGGGGAGAGGGAAGCATAGCTTCTGCAAACACTGCCTGATCCCGAAAGCCAACCTGTACTCAGATTCTTTGGCAACGTGAGTCAGGAGCCACGGGAAAGTTTAATTCAAGAAGAGACTAACGTTACAAGCTTAACAGACATTAGCCAGGCAAACACAGGTATGTGTGTGGGTGGCGGAACAGGACAAGTCACTTCCCTCCTCCCTACTACACACACACACACACACACACACACACACTCTCTCTCTCTCTTCATCCCCTCTCCCCCGGCCCTTTCTGGCAGAGCACTTGAACATCACCCAGGAAAACTGGGCCACATACTGAACAAGGGAAGTGGCTGGGTTGCCAAGAGCTCCAAATCACCAGACCAGAGCAGCTCCCAACTTGGGAGCCAGTTACCCTGCAAAAGGCCTGGAAATCTACTGGAGCACTAAGTGAATGATATTCTTAAACACTGTCATTCCCACAAGATGCAAACATACTTCAAATCTTGCCAAATTCAGTGCAGCACTGTGGGTATAAAATGCTGTAAAGACATTATATCACAACTGCAGTCAGGTTACGGGGCCTCAGTGGTGAGGGACCACAAGAAATTGAGGTGACTAAGGGGAATCCTCACTCCAGCCAGGGAATCACTGCCACACAGCACCAGCTTTTTTTGTGTTTTTAGGTAGCAGGGATTGAACTCAGGGGCACTTGACCACTGAACCACATCCCCAGTCTTATTTTGTATTTTATTTAGAGACAGGGTCTCACTGAGTTGCTTAGCGCCTCACTTATGCTGAGGCTGGCTTTGAACTCGTGATCCTCCTGCTTCAGCATCCCAAGCAGCTGGGAATACAGGCGTGCATCACCATGCCTGCCTTTTGACACAGCTCCAATCTTCCATATTATTTGTCAAGGAAGGGCATGAACTGATGGCTTCAAGGTACACAGCAACATCCGTGACTGTGGTTTTACGACGGATCTACCAAGCACCCATCTGACCTAACATCAGGAGAGGTACTTCTAGCATTCCAGAGACACAATCCAAATTGGAAACAAGCCCACAAAAACTGGGACCAACAGACGATGCCAGCAAACTCACAATCATTCTAAATGTATCCATGTCAAGTTGATTGGGGTTTACATAACCCCTCTAAATTCTTTGTTTCCATGATGCTGGGGATTGAACCCAGGTCCTCACACATGCTCTATCTATGAGCAACACCCCTGGTCACCTGCTACCATCTCTACACCTCCCTCCTTCTTCCCATTCCCCCCCCTCCTTACTTCCACAGAACCCCTACCCCCCCCACTTCAGCCCAGGCTCTGTTTTTTCTGCCCCCCACTATGTTTCTCTGCTGCTGCTTTCCAAATGTACAGTGATGTTTCTAAAACAAACCAGTAGGCATTATGCAGACATTGCTAACACTGCTTTACAAAGGCCACTGGTAACTTAAAGCCACCCTTTCAGCTCAAGGCGAAGGCTTAAAGGCTGTGCTTAGGTCTTCCTATCAGTGGGTAGCAGCAGCTGTGGCCATGTGTCCTGGATAATAGGCACTTTGGCAGAGATCAAATTAGAGAAATGGTGTGAAGAGAGAACATACAGGGCCCCTTACCTTTTGTCCTTTATCCTTCTGAAACACAAAGACGGGCGGAGCAATGGCAGGCTTTTCTGCAAAGAGAAAGATTGGTTTTTTTCCCCCCAACACTATATTCACACAGTTAACAAAGGTACACCTTTTTGTAATAAGTTTAAAAATATATATGTATGTATATACATATATACACGAAACTCCACTAACACCAAACTGCTCTAGAATAGCTTCTTCACCAGGACACTTGGGTGTGAGGGTGTGTTCTGCTGGTGAAATCCAAACCTTATGAGATGATTTGTGCCCCTTTCTATGTGCATATTATGTGATAAACAAAATGCTTTCATGACTCCCTGAGGACAGGCATGAGCATGACAGTGGGAGGGCACCGGACTGCCACTCTCTAGCCCCATCAAGGGCACCTTGCACGAAGGCCACTTAGGGTGCAAGCTCTTTATAGGGGACCTTCTGAATTCCAAAGGCTGGAGGCCAATTTAGCCCCCCCCCCACCTTTTAAATCTGCAACCCCAAAAGGAGACCCACCTGCAGCCTCTGGAGCAAGGCTGCTGCTCTTTGGAGAGCTTGTATGGCCCAACACAACACTGGGTGGGATTTCCATGTGAGCGCTCATTAAAAAGGAAGGCTCTGTGGGGTTGCCAAACAGCTTTTGTTGCAAGAGAAAATGCTGTGGGATGCTCTACCTGAGGGGACAAGAGCAATGCAGCCTATGGTTCCCACCACTTGTCACCTATCAAGGCCTGCAGTCCTTTGCCACTTGGCCCTGACACAGGTGGCAGTTTGGGAAGCCCCTGCTGTCCACTCTGGGACATGCTCATGAGGACTGCCTTGAACCCCAGGCTTCGGGCTTGGGTGCACTCCCAATACTCCTGCAGGGTGCAGCAAGAGAAGCTGTTAATCTGGTGCCCATGTGCTGCATGCTGTGCCCTGTTGCCTCTATAGCAAGCAGAATTTGGGCATAGCCCTGTTCCTTGGCACCCCACTGTGGGGAGCCAGATGCCAACCCTGGAAGTGTGCACAGGCACTGTGTTACCATGTTGAGGGCGCTCTGCGTGGCGAACTAGTGATGGGAAAAGGCCCCTAAGAGGGAGCTGTGCAGGAGTCTCAAAAAGTGCTGACAGAGACAGTGGCAACTCAGAGGTGCAGCTTTTAGGGTGACGAGAGTGGGGAGGGGGTAGTGTGGCTCTGCTCTGGACATAAGGCGGTGTTGTAAAGGGTCTGGGGAAACATGTTGGGATTGAGAGAAAAGTCTGGAAAGAGTGACGTGGGCAGTGAATGCAATTGCTGAGGGGAAACACAGGTCTGGGAGCAGGTTTTAGGAGAAAAAGGGGTAAGCTGGTGGATGGCAGGGGTGCAAAGGGCTATCCAACCAGGTTTTTACATTTCCCTAAGCTAAATCTCCCTGTACAACCCGAATGAATGAACAATCAAATGAATGTGTCTCTGCCAGACAATAAAAGATGCCAAATGAATGCTGGAAGGACTCGGGCAACGCAGCAGTTGATCCATACTGTGTCTGCTGCCAGGGAGCCTGGAGACCTTCTGGCACTTCCCCTGGACCCCACAAGATCAGAACCAGGGCAGGAGGTCCGGACTACACCTCCACTTCTGCATTTGACTCTTCGGCTCCTAGATGTACAGGGAAGAACCAGGATTTCAGCCAGCTTAGCATCCCCTCAACCTCATTTTCTTTAGGGAAGAACCCCTGCCCCACCTCAACTTCAGCCCAGGCTCTAGGCCTGACAAAGACAGCACAGCATGCCCTGGCCCCGCGGACACTGGCATGTGGAATACAGCCAAGTCTATCTGCTGGAGCTACTGAGGAAGAGGTACTTTTTCTCATGGGGCTGCTAAACTGGTAGTACGTGAGCCTGGGGTCGCCACAGGTACACAAGGCCAACCTTCAGGGAAACAGAGACAGAGTAGGGGGAAGGCTAAATCCCAGCCACACTGGTGGAAGCCCTGTGTTTGGAACTTCCCGATGCTAACCCTCTCCCCAGACATTTCAGTCAAGCCAATCAATGTTGGCTTTTGCTGCAGCGGCTTTGAGCTAGACCTCTACCCCTGGTCACTAAGACTGCAGTCTAAGAGGGCCATTGCAGACTTAATTAAACACCTGGTGCATTTGGGCACCCTGTGGAAGAAACCCTGGACAAGTCTCAAAGCCAAGCTGAAATGCTTTTTTTTTTCCTTTTGTAGCAAATTTCGCCACCTGACCCATTATATACTTAAAAGGTTGATGGTCTGTCTCCCCTCTGCAATATAAACTATGAGGTCAAAGACTATGCACGAGTAAGGAGGGCACAGAAATTGAACATGAGGCAAAAACACCAGTGCCAGGCTAGGAAGGAAGAGGTGGAATGCACAGATAATTCTTTGGGCACTGGTGATGAGGACTGTGTCAGCACAAAGGAAGCTGCAGGCACAAAGGAAACTGCAGCCATGTGGGCAACTACAGGAGGCCTGAGCTGCTGCAGTGCAAGGGCCCTGCTCAGAGCTACCTGGACCATGCAGCAGGGTCAGTGGGGGTGAGATGGGCAAGGGATACTCTGCACTCCATCTCACAGGATGCTCAGCTGGGGAGAGTGGGAGAGGGTGTGAGGGTAGAGTTCTGAAAGCAGCCAGCCAGGTGATTCAATCAGGTCCTCCCTAATTGACACCTGGTCCTGCTCCTGTGACCCATTTCAAGCACCACTCAGACCTCCTTTTTTTCTCTGCCTCTATTCTCACCCATCTCCGGCCTCCACAGAGCAGCCAGAATCACTGGTGTAAAATACACACTTAAAACCGCAATGCCCTGCCACTAACAAGGGTCTGAGCTCCTTCAGACAGGCAGGCCCTGCCACCGCCCCCACCTTCCACATGACTATGGTTGTGGCACTGAAGAGTCTACATGTCCCATTCTATGGTGTGCTTCTGCACTTCTGTATAGTTTCATCTCTCTGCTGGGAACACACAATTCACCTTCTTTTCTGCAGCCAACACTGTCTCCTGGACAGACTTTGGCCTCTGTCAGAAAACTCCTGGATGCCCTCCTGAGCACATCCCTAGCTTGTATCAGGCCACAAGTCACTCCAAGTTACCTACCAGGGAAGATGAGAGACCACAGCCTCTGAAGAACTCTTTCTCCCAACATATGAACCAACGCACACCACCTAGAAATCATCCCCTTCAGTTCCACACACAAAACCAGCGGCTATGTAATCACATAAATATTTATCAAGCCCTTATTCTGTGCACAGCACCAAGGGAAAATGGAGAACAGGAAGCTGAGGGTGAAATGTGATTAGAAAGGAAGGGGTGTGTCTGCACCTGAGCTCCTGGCTGGACTGATCTGCTTGCTGGCATCTACCCCTGGGCTGGAAGCACTAGGGCAGGGGCCTCTCTGCTTTCTTCCCCTCTGTGCTTCAGTGCCACACACAGAGCCTCACACAACAGCACTTGACAGGCAGCTGCAGACTGAATGGAATACTACCCTCCCCAAAGACTGGACCCTGGTGAGGCGAGAGGAGGGTCCTCCAGAAGGAGAAACAATGGGCTACATCAACGGTAGGTGACAGCTGCCCACCTGGCCCACAGGACCCCTTGTTGACAGTAGGTCTGGCATTCAAGACTAACCCAACCACTATACTAACTAAACCGCAGACATGAACCTCAGTCACACTGCAACCCAAACACCAAGCATCAGAGTCACACGCACTACCTTTCCACTCAGCTTGGGTGGGGGGTGGGGATTCTGAGGAGGAAAGGCCCATACTTAGCACGGGAGCAGACTGCTCTATCCAGGCTTCAAAGTGGCACTTGTTGTGCTACCTGAGCCCACATCTGGGGACAATCAGAAAGGGATAGAAGGCAGTGAGGCTTCTATAACCTGCTCTGATCTCCACCCAGCTTTTCCTTCACAGTGAAGGGAAAACCACCACTGTAGATGGCTAGAGACCCAGGCCACCACAGATCCCTCATGTATTAAAAAGTATTAATCACATGTGGAATGTTCCACTCAGGTTCTGTTAATCAAGTGTTCTGAGCTTTTTTTGGGGGTGGGGGGGGCATGGAGGCAGGGGTCCTATGAAATGCTTTCTGATCAAATTCATTTATGAAAAAGCAGCAGCAAGCCTGGAGATTGGCTCAAGACATCAGCATTTTAAAAGTCAGGAAGACCAACAGAACTGAACCCCTTTGTTTCCGTTTTTGGGGAGACAGGATACTGGAGATTGAACCCAGGGACATTTTACCACTGAGCTGCATCTCAGGTCTTTTTGTTTTTTTTTGAGATGGGGCTCCTTAAGTTGCTGAGACTGGCCCCTGACTTGGCATCCTCCTGKCTCAGCCTCCTGAGTTGTTGGGATTACATAGGTGTGAGTCACTGTGCCTGGCAGGAATCACAGAGGATGAAATCCTCCCCAAGAATTTGATCATGGACCACCCAAGATGAGGCCTGAGCACAACACACACCAAATCAACTCTGTTGTATGCAAGGTGATGGGGTTCTGAGCCTTTCACATCGAACAATACCCGACTCTGGATGGGTGGGCTCTACCATTTGGTATGTGAGGCGCTCCCTCCCACCACAGGCTTCCTCTCTGACCTCACCAATGCTTTCCAGGGTGCTGCATGCCAAGTCCCAGAAGGTGCCACCTCAACTCAATCCCCATCCCACACCTTCATTCCATGAAAGGAGAGAGTAAGAAGCTGACCTGTACCCAAAATAGTAGTGGGGTGGAAGACTGCTTCCCAGCTTTCTAGGGTGCAGTGCAGGCATCTCAGAATTCTGTCTTTTAGATTTCTTCCCACCTCTGCCACATTATGCACAGCAAAGATATCCTCCAACAGATGTTTCATGCATATGGCTAGCATTCGCTGAGCACTACACCATGTGCCAGGTTTACCTGTAGCACCTCACTGCATCGTCACAAACCCTTCTTCTTTGTCAGGAAAGGGGAGGATGTGTACCCATTTATGGGTCAGACCATAAATCAGGTGGGCCCCACTTTGAACCCCAGGCACCACACCATACCACCATCCAGGCACCACAGGTGCAGAAGGGAGGGGATGAGACCCA